AATATAAACAATACCATGAACCTAAATATATTTTTTACTATTGTTACAGGTTGTACTCAGGCCCCTCTTTCCCACTGGGCACTATGGGCACATGCCCAGGGCCCCTCGATCGATATCCAGTTGCCCTAATTCCCGCCAGATCGCCAATCGATAATTGATACTTATTACCGAAATGAATATTTATTTCGAAAAAATCCAGCGATAATGACTGACTATAATACTCGGTTTGGTTATTCTAACAGAAAAGTAATCAGTCAAGGTCGTAGGGGCCACATCACCCAAATGTGCCCAGGGCCTCTAATAGGCTAAAGACGGCCTTAGTTGTACTTGCATATTATTGTAATTAATAAAAAATTGCTTAATTATAATATCTAATCAGACTTTTATTAATCATTAGTAGGTATAGTTTTACACAAGTTCATTTCTGCAGACAGATTGCACGTATAAAATGTTCATCCATTGGAAATATTTGGTACATCTTTTTCTCATATTTATTTCTCTCCATTTTTAAACTGGTGAATCAGCATCTTCATCAGTAGAAAATAAATTTGGGTTATCGTCCGACTTGTCCTCATCAGAAGATTGCTTTATGCTTGTTGTTTTGTTTTACTTTTTATGTTTGTTTTACTTGTTTTACTTTTTATGTTTCCAACTCTGTTCCTTCTGCTTCTTTTCGACGTTTTAATGTTTCTTTCATTTAATTCTACTATAAATCTAGAGCATTTAAATATTGTTTTGCAGAAGAGTAGTCATATATTATTGGCTGCGCTACCGTAATATATTTATGAACAATTTATATAACATTTTATTGATATGTAAGTGTGTATGGAACGATATGATCATTTTAACGCTTACAATATTTTGAAAATTGGCACTGCCCATGTTATTGAACTCGACTGTACGTTACAACTAGTGATGTGCCGGATCGTTAACAAAGTATATCCGCGGATACGGATCCGGATACGGATATTTGGTGTCAAGATCCGCGGATACGGATACGGATACGGATCTTAAGTTTCTTACTCAATCGGAGCCCGTGACCTTGATAGTTGTCGCCACTTGACGCTTTGCCGTTGATATTTAAATATTTCATTATTTTAATAAGCTAATACAAAGATGTTTGATTGATCTCATTATAAAGATAGCTCTTTCAGTACCTACGACCTGCCTAGTTGATTTAGTATAGTACGATAAATGATTGCAATACAAAGGTGCCAAATATTTGTTTTAAGAAATAAAAAGTAATCTGAACCGAATTCAATAGTTTTTCATAGCTACCTAATAACCATTATTCAGGGTTATTTTAAATTTACTGAAAACTACTGAAGTGCATATTAGTAACATTATAAACAACTTTTCTTCTGGACTAACACCGAAACGAAAGAAATAAATTGTTTCTCTATACAAACTAACAACATTTGATTGGTCATTTGAATGGAGGACCAATTTTTTTTCGATTTTGACCTTGGCCAGAAAAAAAGTTGCTGTTTATAATGTTACAAACACATACTTAAGAGTTTTACAGTGAATACAAAATCACCTATATAGAATTTCATCTATGTAATATGTATTGTGAGATCCGCCAAAAAAGTCACGGATACGGATACGGTTACGGATCTCTCTTCTCCCTTAGATATCCGCGGATACGGATACGGGTACGGATATCCGGCACATCACTAGTTACAACCCAATAATATAAATTTGCATGAGTTTCAACTTTTCCAGATTGTTTAAACCAAATGTTTAGTTTATAGTGAAACCTAACACTAGCAAAAATAATTTATGATTTTATTTTACCACTTACTCGGCTGAAATAAAAAATGTACATGTAAAATCTCAGTTCTCTGGTATTTACAAACTCTAAGCAAGGCCTCGAACGAACGAAAGAACTCACAGACAGGCAGACGCATAAATGGTGAAAGTATAAGGGGTTAAAAAGGGGGAGTAACACCAATGTAAGTTTAACTAAAAACATATTATTAAATTTTCATTATGATACGAATTTCAGAATTCCAGCCATTAAAGAGTAACAATTTCTGTAACTAATATTTGTTATTTAAACTTAATAGAAAAACAAAAAGTCAAACCAAAAGTAACACACGGGCCTCTCCATGTGGACACGCCTTCGTGTGACTGCTCCTGCTGCTATTAAGATATCCTTCAAGGACTTATGAATACCCAAAAAAGTACTAACCCAGAAGGAATGTAATGTCGTCATGTCAATATAAAGCAATAATTTTGAGATCGCCTTGGCAAATCATCATACCAGCTAATCTTTTAACTCTAAACATAGACGAATACCTCCTAAATCCAATTTAGGGAGTTATTTGTCTTCGTTCAGATTATTATCAGCTTTAGGCATTTTTGTATACTCTAAAACGAGAGGTTCTGTCCGAACACAATTAGGTTATACGCATGCTCTACATTCATTCATGTTGGTAAATAACAAACACACGACCCGCATAGTAAACAGCTATCAATTAGCACAAACCACACTAATCCAAGCCTTATCTTAACACTAGTATAGTGCATAGACATGGACTTCGGTGAAGTGGAGGTTCTCCTCGACGGTTAGGTAAATATACAACAACATACAACAACTAACAAGAATGTACCGGAGTTTCTATATATTTTTTTATTATATGTCAGTATTACAAAATAAGCCCATAATCACGTTATAAATGGTTTTAATAAATCCATCTGGAATGTTTATACATTCGCCATGGATATCATAGTACGCTAATAAATAACATTTATAGCTTCAGCTTAGCTATTTGCTCTGAACCCTTGTAATAAACTTTGCCAATATCATATACAAGCCCATTATTATACTTGTATGAAATGCGAGCACTGTGAATCAGGAAAAATAAATAAACAAGATTTATGTTTTTATTTACACATTTATTACATTTGCATACAACAGTACACAAGTACAAACAGGTCTATAATAATATTTTACATCTATATACAGTAGTAGTGTCCTGGCGCGTGACCATGAGGCTAAAGGAATGTATGAAAACTAGAGTTTATTTCTAAACAAAAACTTACAATGGATTGATTGGAAGTAATTTATTTATGCATAACAAAATAAAGCTTGACTAGTCTTAAGGCACGTTAGGACATAAGAATACATTATTGAGAGTATTAAATGTTTAAATCGTAGTCACGAGTGGACACGGTAGACCGGTGTTATATAATTATCATCGCAACGAAGTCCCGATTTCCACATCTAATAGATATCCAAAAATTTAGAGTATACAAGAGATATAATAGTATTTATATCAAATATTTATCTGAGTGAAGATGCACACACGCCTCAACGCTCGCGTGCCAGGGCTTAATACTAAATGCCACAACAACACGATTATTGTGAAAGAATATGTTAACAGAATCTACTTTAAGGTGACACCAAGAAATTAGCCTCTTCTATCACAAACATGCCAATATCCTATCTAATATCAGTCGAACTTACGACAGCTCGTTGCAAATACTTTCATTAATATTCAAATAACACAGATGCTAGTGATTTCTAATACAAATTACAATTTAACACATTGTGTTCTTAAACCATAATTTTCTTTGTTATGTGCAACTATAACACTAACTAACAGTTAAGAACAGTTTTTGAGCACTCTTCAAATAGGTAAGTATAGTCATTGTTCAGTTTTATGGAATTCTACCAGATATCACTAACTCTGGAGACTGAATTAAATTTATATCCTGTATGGACCGATCTCCCTCCGATCGGTTGACTATTATTTGGTCAATAGAACAAGAAAGATTTATTAAGTACAAGTATTTTAAAGATAAACACTAATAACTGAGGAATCAAAGTTTTATGTCAATGTATTATAATCGATCATATTATCGGGTTACAGTTTATTATAATTTTGATGCAAATATATCATCCAAAAATTATTAAATACTTATACACGATTTACAAATGTATAAAACGCAACAGTATTTATCAATTGACCGATCAAACGACATGCAGAAGTTTGCATATATATGCGATCGGTTGTAATACAAGTGCAAAAACTTGTATCCGTTCGAACAATAGCTTCATGGTTTAACTATGGAATCGAACAAAAAGCAATCATAAGTGTGTTTACTTTAATTAATGCTCGTATTATCACATGCAGCAATACATAAAAATCATTATTGTATATATACATGCTCGCGAACAAAGCACCGACCGGAAGGTATCCTAACGATGATATTATTAGCTTATTTTATAATAACAATAAAAAACAGTATTGATGTAATAAAATTACAATAACTACCTGTGTCACAATAGCACATCTTTAAAATCACAGGCCAGTGCTCCTGACAATTCTATGATGCAATCAAAACATTATATGTATATACAGGTATTACAGAAAGGTGTGGTCAGATTTCAAGCGTTTTGTGAAAGAGTCGTAAAGTTCATTTAACTTAAACAGAATTCTGTTGTAGATACACATATTTAAACAACGTATTACAAATACTTGCTTCAGTTTCAACGATTTTGTTGTGTATTTTAACTCCATAAACATCCTTGGTATTAAATATCCATAGTTTCCGTCAACCTACAATTTCAATTTATCAGTTTTAAAATAATCTCGATTTTTTTTCAAATTACTAGCGCTCAACTTTACTAACGGGGTCTATACGATTTTACACTATGACCACATCGTTCTGTAACACCATTCATAGACGCGCATTTAAACTAATAGTTTGCCTTAAAATAGACACTAACATTTTTGACGAAATTTATTTGCATAATACATTTTCTTGAAAATGCCTGGTTAAAAATACATAACATCCATTTATTATGGAGTTGTATCGTTATTAAATGTAAGTTGGACTATTTTTTAATAAATATTTATCCAAATTACATCGACTCATAGTCATTAGTCAATGCTAAGCATTAAATAATTAAAAGCGATATAGGTACATAGTAGGAAACATATTTACAATGACGCTCAGTATCACAAGATGGTGGCGAAGACGCGGCGCGTTCAAAATGGCCGTCCGTTCTGCGGTCGCTCAGGCAACTTCGGCGGCATGTTGGAGCCCGGACGACTATTAACATAAAAATATATTATTTTAAAGCAAACCTCATAATTGCATAAAAACCAAGTTATGCTCATATTTACAGTGATATCTAAATACTGTTATATACAATTATTTCTGAATGGATATGGAGATAACAAAATAAAACAGTTTTATTAGTACGCAATAAAATTCAAAAGCAAAGACATTCATCACAATATAACGCTCGACCATGCACAAATTTTACGAATCTGTAGGAAAACGGCCTAATAACTAACACATAAACGATCGGTCGTTTATGTGTAAATAAATATATCATATATACATGCAACTTACAGTTCCAGGAAATTATTTAATCAAGCAATGCATAGCACTATGTACACGTAGAATATGTACCTACCACCTATTAAAATTATACAATATTATTAAAGTACACTATTCATGCAATTATGAATTTCAAACTTACACATGCGCTTTTTTCAACATTAGACTAAGCACTATTAATTTTCTAATTAATTTAATTTTAAGCATTATTAAACTAGTTAATGAGCCAATATTTCAATAAGAAAAAATCTTTTCATAGTTAGGAGGCAACTGCTTATAGTATTATGCCACACAAAAGGCTTTAGATCAATTCTTATTGAAATACTTCTCACAGTACACAAACAGCTTACCTAATAACTAATCCTGCAGACATTGGTACTCTACATATTACCCAAAATTGTTAGTATCATTATAAAGCCAATTGGCAATATGTTTTTCTATTATACTGGAATAAATCAAACATCTTTAATACACATATAGCTTTTAATTACTCTATTTATACAGCATAAGATTAACAATATTCATAAACTATATCAAATCCAACAATCACTGCCTATACCTTTTTCGATGGTACTAATGCTATTAACAAGATAGAGAGAGCAAAACGTTAAATGACCGATTACTTTTGTATAATATTCAGCTAATATTTCATAGAGCAATGAGTATAGCCATAGCCTTAAACACTTCATTACGTGTACGAGTTCCGATAGTTGACGTGACGTTATCGCCTACGGACTGTAGATGTTCACCTTGTATCTGCTCCCTGATCATAACTATCCACTTTCGATGGCTTCATCCATGAATATACCTCCCGTGTAGCTATAGTTAATGTGGCGTCTATAGGAACCGATGTTACATCATCATCGAGATGATGAATAGTGGATGCGAGATGATTTCAAGATTAAGATATCGACAAGCTTTACGTAATATTTTCAATAACATATCATCATATTGTATATCATCAATAAAATGATCTAATAATTGACCAAAGTTATTGCTAACAGCAACAATTTACGACACAACTGCTTTGGTCTTATCCATTATAAGTACAATTAAATTTACATATAAACGTTAGTACATAGGTATCTCGTTATGAGTTCATAAGTTACTAGTCACCATTGTTATTTAAAACAAGATATATTGGTAAACTAGCTGGGTACAATACATAGTAAATGCATAAACATTAAATACGCATCACGGCTAGGAGACGGAAAAGAGTGTCAAAGTTCTAACCTACTGTAACACCTAGACACCGACGTGAGCACATGTTGTAACGACTGTAGCTACGCAACTAGTTCTACGCGACCATACGTGTGTGCCGACATCAACAAATAACCTCCGTGTCTTTACTTCGTGTACAAGCAACTCTAGCACATTACAAAACAATATGATATGCTCTTAGCCCCGGCCTTATATCTTAGGCAGCGGGAACTCGTGATGCCCTCTGTGAATCAACTCAACTACATACTTCCAATATACACCTATATTAAGCCACTGAATGTAACATTTACAATTAACCGTAACATAAATTTAATTACATGGTAATTATAATAATTTAAAGTAATAAGTAAGCGCCTGCACATTTCGCTTTACATATGTGTTACATGAAGCGCTCTGGAACAATATTCGTTTAATACTGTTAATGTATTTAGTAGTACATATTACATTTGGCGTGTTATGTGAGGACGTCGGAATCATATCTAAACAATTACAATCTAATCCCATTTAACAAAGCCCTAGGCGAGATGTATGAATACTAATTCGCGTTAAGATGTTCAATGCTAACGCTAACAATCTCAATCGTCTTCTGGTAGACACAGTTTGAGAGTTCTGCAACTGATGGACGTTGAGCACTGGACAACAGTCCCACAAATATCCCAGAGCATATCAAGAAGACTTTCTATCTCCAAAAAAATATAATATGAATAGTACCGTTTACACACTTAACAGGTTAATGTCAATGAACGCTTGCAAAAACATCTCGCTCGCGTCGGAAAATGAAGTCATTGGAATGTATACTGAATACCTACGCGATACATATATGATAGGTAACAACATTTTATGTATATTATATTTAGATTATCTGTTCATTATGATTACCTGCATTATTGTTGCATGTGATCTTCGTGATTTTTATATTGTGATGTTTGAGTATAATTTAAATATTAGTTTTAGATATAGGAAAACAGCAAATTAATAAGTAATACTTATTTAATTTACAAAATATTGTTTAATAACCCTGCGGTAACGTTGCCTAGTTATCACAAGCAGACTTATGTGCATCGAGTGTATTAATGCACAAACACAACTGTTGCACAATACAATAAAACTGATCTTGATCAGTCGCTATTAATAAATTTTAGTTGACATCAGGACAGTCAAGCTGTTGTTAAAGTGTTCTTAAAAAGTTTTGGCAATCAGTTTTATAAAACACAAATAAAGCAACACAAATATCTCGTCTTTAAAACATCGCTTCGAATAACAAGAAATTTCTAAATCGCGAGATTCATCTTGAAAGTCGACCATCTCTAAGTTTACAAAACATTGTCTAATGTGTTACAAGTGTGCAGCACCTGATCCATGAGATTCTAGTAAGCGATGTTTTAAAATTAACATGTTATTGAGTGAGTAAAAATTTAACTTTTTACACAATTTCAACAGGTCAAGTAAACATGGTCTTTAAAGCCACCCCTTTTTTAGCAAACGTGGTCACTTCTAATAGAAGAAGAGGAAAACATATGCATAATAAATACCATAAAGTATAGCAGCAAGGTCAAGAACTCTCATAACAGTGACTTGCTTAAAATCTAATTTTACATGTATTTAAATTGCCTTGGATACTTAAACTATGTAGGTGTGAAGGTTTTTTCATAAACGTTTGAAAGATATCAAATGTCACTATTTTCCTTAGCTGGGCAGAATAAGGTGTGAAAAGGCCAGCAGTGACTGCCACTTCCGTCCCTCGGACCATTTACCAGATTACTGAAAAGACTCTACTGATATGTCGATCAGCTACTTTAAATTGTATATTTCATTTGATACTAGTAGACAAGTTATTTTGAGTGCAGCGTTTCCTATCACTCTATAGTTTAATAACTTTGCCTAGATTCGAAGTGACGACGTTTGGCAAGCACACGTAACGTACATACAGTCGTGTTATACAACGTTTGTGGTAACACTGGTTTACTTGAATCGTGCAAATGCGGAGCTGAGTTCGTTGATGGCGGCATTGGTGACGGCCTGTCCCACCGCCTGGTTGACCTGCTGGCGCATGTGCGGTGGCATCTGGTTCATGGCGGACGCTAGCATCGGCCCGCTGCCTCCAACCGGCCTCCTATTTATTGTATCGTTCTTACATATTAACACTATTACAAAACAAACATGCACAATATCCGGACAACATACAAATTGATTTATGAGGCGTAAATAAGCCATGTTACTAATTTTTAAGTAAAACATTTTTTGAGGCTACAGGGGTAACAGGAGTTGAAATATTTTTTCAATTAAAAGTAAATTTCCCGGTCTGGTATAATACGTACGTGTGACGTTACCTGTGATTTTCAGAAGTTTTTGTAATTCTTAAATTATGTCATCACCATCAATAGATATATTTTGATTTTCCTTGCCGGAAATTTTGAGCTCATTTTCTATATGACGATTTTAATAAATATATATATGTAATGAAAAACGCGAAATTACCCCTAGCACAAAAGTTTAGTAAAAGTTCCTGAAACCGAAATCAAATTATATTAGTAACTAATCACATGTATACTAAACTCTGTTTGTATTGGGGTCTCAAATTTTATAACTTATAAAAAATCATTTTGGCATAAAACGCTTGAGAACATTTCAATATTTGATTTACTAATTTATTGAATCTGGAACGAGAATATTTGAATTTTTACATAACTTAAAACGACCATGGTTGCTAAGGAAATAATATAAATAACAGAACATTTTAACTTTTCTGCATTTGATTTTTGTAAAAGAATTCCATCCATACAAAAAGACTCTTAATTTGAACGATGGTCATCTCATAATGTATCATTTTTTATACAAAGACAAAATAATCAGAAAGAAGAGCCGAGAGTGTGTAGTAGATAAACTCACAGCTTCTCTGTAAGACAATTCGCGAGTAATGTAACCGCCATAATAAATGCTTATAATAAATAAAATAAAAGAGGCGCAATATATAAGTAAGATATTAAGAAAAAAATCTTACAGGGCAACTGTGAAATTATTTAACACAAAGTAATAACTAAAATGCCAACATACATATATACACAATAACTATATATTTTAGTGCAACATTTACTAATTTTATGTATTCTATTTGGTTGTGTATTACAGATAAAAAATAAATTCGCTGACAAGATACACCTATGAAACGTATATTGTTATTAAAAAAACATCTAACAATTCATGAAAGTCACGAAGGTCACACATAGTATAGTGCAAATATAAATATTCATGCAGTGTTTTAGTACCCTGAATTATTTGAATGAATTAAAATAAGACAACGAATGAAATGTTTTTCCAACTGCACCCAAAAGTCCATCAGGTATTAAAGCAATCTAGAATACTGTGAATGTATATGATCCATCGTAAAATGTTCCTGCACCAAGTGTTCAGAAGAATTTTAATATTATATTAATATCCATAATGTTTACATAAATTATGTATCTGTCTGCAGGCAGCGGAGTGTTCGATGGCTACACACAACCTGCTGCATCAAAAATATAACCTCAATTTTATTACTCAGTGTAGAATACAAATATGCCTAAGTAAAATATCATTCGTTTAATGAGAAGCTGCCAACAGACGATACAGACGCAGATTGTATATCTTTAACTGGTATTCTACCCAAGGGTTTTTATATTAAATTCCACTATTTTTTTAATAATTTTATGGAAGCAACATTTCTTTCAGACGTATCATAAGTATTAATCATTTACATGACTAAATTTAAATTTCGTATATAACATATGTATAATATATTTATAAATTTGTCGACATTTGTTAACTTAATACCATCGCTTAACAAACTAAGAACAGAAGATTTAGTGTAGAAATAAACCGTAGCGTAATGTAATATCGATTACAACAAGCTTTATTATAATAAAGTATACATTATCCACACAGCCACACCACTGCGCTGGCAATGTGTAATAAGTTAACAATGCCGTGGTAGTTAGTGTCTTACGTAATAACGTAACTTATGTTAGGGGTTAGTGCGCGCGCCCGGCCCGTCTAGCGCCGCCTGCGAACATAACCATACACTCAGCTACCGACACTACACCAATTACTAGTTGTTATTAATTACAAAGGCACTATCACAAACAAACATTTTTTAAGATGTCAATGACAAAATAGATTATAAAAGAATTAACAAATACATATTAGATCCCTGACATAATATTTAGCAACATTTAGTATTACTCCATACATATACTTTAAATAAAGCATTATAATATTATTTTTTAGCAAATTATGGCTGTTACATCACCCACAAAAATACCTTCAAAAGTATTAAAGCGAAAGCTCTCACACCGAATATAATCAATCGCAGCGAGCTAAAGCCCACACGAGTCCAGATTATTTTTGATCCATCTGAGAGGTCACTTTGTCATCCTCTTACTCAATGCTTAAATAATATTCATACAGGAAGAACGACAAGGGGAAATTTAAACTGCCAAGAAACAATACATTCTGAGGGCCCCAAATTAGAATTTGCGAAAGAATCTTTAGAATGTATTGTAATTAATTAAAACTTTAAGTACTTAAAATAATGACTGCAATTCTCAATAACACAGAACATAATAATATTTTACGTCTATCTTACGTCGTTTTAAGTACCTATCAGCTTTTAAAACCAAGTTCGCTACTTAAGGACGTGTATGTCTTCGTCACGTATGGGGTCCAGTGCGAGTTTATTTCACATCAACTGCTCTCGACGGCGACCTGCTTCGGCGTTGCGATTGGTCCGCACTAAAGTCTTCGTCAATCGTAACGGCGAACGCGCGCCGTGGAGAGCGAGCTCATGTGAAATAAACTGTCCAAACAAACGGTCGAGTGGGTATCGATACGATACGATGGGCTTACATTAGAGTGTGTACTCACGTGGGTATGAGTGGCGCAGGCAAGCCAGGCTGTGGCGCGGGGCGGCCCGAGGGCGGGGGCGGGGCGGCGCCGCCGGGACGCGACGGCAGCGGCGGCGCCGGACGATTCGCTCCGCCCGGCGGGGGAGGGGCGCCGCGACTTCCCATCGAACCTGCCATCATAGTGAGGAATTGTATTTATATATTAGTTAGACGGGTCCGGGAGAGTCTTTTCTTTTTAATAATCTTATTTACAAGGATAAAAGCAGCAGGTTCCACGGCAACACGTACGGGTGATGCCATAATGTCTTAACTCTCAACGGAACGAACGAACAAAATGCTCGGACTTACCGCGCGCAATAGCCTCGCAATGATACCGAGGTACATTATGGGTATTGACCGAAAAAACGGACACCTTACTTTTTTTAACATTTATCGATAAACGAAATCGTTTTCAATAGAAGAGTAGAACTCCCGTGCGATAATTTTGATTTAAACATTTGACATAAAAGTATTTCTATGGAAAATATAAAAATACTTTTACTATGAAAAATAACACTTTTTATTGCTTGCTTGCTTAAACATGATTGTTGGCAACAAAAAAAAAACCTCAATATTGTATGCTTAAAAAGAACGGAGAAATTTATTTTTTTGTTGTTTATAGGTTTTATTTTTTAATTCCTTGATGAGGAAGAATTAGGATCCTACTTTTGTTACGGTTACTGTTTATCAAAATATGCATCACCAAAAAAAAACAAATTCAGCAGCATTTAGGATGTACAACCTTCTAAATAATTTTCTTCTGAATAATTTTAGAAAAGTTATTACTTTAAATAAACTGTGATAATAAACTAATTTTAAACAACAACGACCAACCTAAAAACCAAAATTATCTTAAAAAACTTTAGAAGGTCGTAGCTCCGAAATGCTATGGAATTTTGACTTGATTTTTTTTTTGGTGATACATATTTTCAATAACATATTATCAACTCATCAATACTGATAATACTGTTACTTTCAGTCAATTTCGAAATAGTAAATTAGTAACCTTGCTGCACTGGTGTAGCCCTCCTGGGTCCTCCGGGCGAGGGCGGGCTAAGGCGTGGGTTAGAGTCGAGGCGACTCTCGAGCCAATCGTTCTTAACGGGTGGCGGAACGGGCGTGCTCACCGTGGCCATAGACACATCGCCGATAATGTGCAGGGCCTCTTTACAAGCGTGGTACATGCGCAACATCTCTTCTCGCTTCAGCGCTTCTTCAGGAGACTCTTCCATCATTTGAGACTAAAAGAAGCATTCAATAAAATAACCATAATACTATCTATGAAATGTAAAGCTAATAATTTGGACTCTCAGTGACTGATCAATAACCCTTGTAATGTCTGAGTCGTTTAGCTATCAGCTAAACTGTCCCTTCAAATTATAGAACTAAAATAAAATTAGTAAAAAAAGACAATTTTCTTTACCTGATCACCAGAAGCATAAAGATGCGCAAGTAACTCCCCGTTGATAAAATCTTTGGCATTATTAATGATCATCATCATAATAGTCTTGGGCACGAGGTCGCGTGTGGTCTTGGTCACAATGCGCATGTACGAGTCCACGAGGTTTCGGATTGTCTCTACCTGCCTCTCTAGCTGCGGGTCCATACTGCTTGTGCCTGTATTGTCCGAACTCTGAAAATATAACGTTGAAATACTTTTATATTGTGCAAGATAAAAGACAATAATGAGTGTGACATTACTTAACTAAAAAACATTGCCTCTGAAATTATTTATTTTTTACACATACAATATATCCTTAAATAATGAAATGATCTTATGATTATGAACCAACAGAAATACTGTATTCTTCAAGCTGCATTCAAAATAAAATGACGATTATAAAACAAAATTAGGGTTAATATGTCAGGGTTTATTTTTCTTTGGTGTAGTTTCCTTCGTGGCAGAAGTAGGGAGATAAACAACTCCCATTATCGTCCTACTTCCAATTATTTGGTATTAAATAAGTGTTTACCTAATTAATAGACCTCTGTTAAACATTTTTTCATTGACAAGGAACCGTAAGAACGACAACCGACGGCAATATTTGGTACGACACTGATACACCAATTTTTCTATCTCTTTCTTTACAAGCAATTTGCAAGCTTAAATAATAATAATAATAATAAAAATTTATTTTCAGAATTTCTTTTCCATATTTTGTTAGTAATAATAAAACCGAAAAGTCATCCGAATTATTCTTTAGCTATTACACTGATCGTTTTGATAAAACTAGTCATATTGCATGCTAAATCTGTCACTAAACCAAACAATCCTTTAAAAAGCATGCATGTTAATAAATTTAAAAAAAAACAGCCTCAAATGAAACAAAATTAAAAGCGCTATAGACCATTCTCCAGGTAATTGCCTCGAAATTCCTACCAAATAATAGCGTTTTTTAACCAAATTTGGTTTAATATTATAATATCTATTACTCGCTTGCTGCAACAATATAATATGCCACGATGTGATAAACCAACAAATTATACAAAATGAGTCATGATTTTTCTCTCTTTTGAATCATAATGTTCCGCATTTTTTTTATCTATAATCCCATGCTTCATGTAAAGAACAAGTTACATTTGTGTAAAGCAAAATGCACAGCAGTACAAGGTTATACAAAGTTTACGTAGCGTTATGAGGAAAAGTTTTAGCTTAGCTTAGGAAATGAACTGTATACTAAAATTAAGGGTATTTAATGTAAAAAAAGTGCTACAGTTGCTACGACTCAGTCTCTACATAAATCACTTGCCTTTGCAACCAAGCTCGTTAATTATTCTCAAAGATTTTATATCTTTTGTATTGTATAACGTTAATACGGACTCTAAACCGGTTAACTTGTAACCTTCATAGATGAAAGTTTTTACATTACTTTTACTGAATGAATAAACAAGCTTCTAATTGCACTATTACCACAATATTCGAATTTTAGTGTAATATTATTTTACAATATACATACTTGTTTGAATAGCCAGTAAAGAAAATCAATACAAAACTTTGTTACTAGACAGTGAAAAGATGTAATACGTAACGTACGTACGCAAGGAAGAAAAAGCTGATAATTCAGTCTAAAGCGTACTGCTAGTTATCGCACGCAACTCTTATTGGAAACGTATCTTTAGGCACACTATGATCTTCTTCATGTCGCAGTACAAATGTTGATGATATGGGTATATCACAATTATATAATCTAGCGCTTACCATACCATCTTAATTAATCTTCGATGTAATCCGTGCTACAACATCATTCACAATCAAAACCAAAAGCAATGACATGTCACAACTTAAGGTACGCCCTTAACTGTTATATTTAGAGCTATATTGTTTACAGCCATATTTTATTTATTTATTGCACATGCAATTATATAAAAAACAAAACGTAATCTACTGCCTTTAAAATCACCTTTAAAATCTAAGACAAAACCCAGCAAACAAGCCTTTAAATACGAATCACTTACACTTTTTTTATTTTCACCTAACCCCAGGGAAGGCAGAAATAACTAAAAATAAAAACAAACATGCTAAAACAAAATGGCATAAAACTTCCACAGAAAGTTAAAATTAAACAATGGATAAAAACTGTATAATATGTAAACAAAGCTTAATATTTAAAGAATGATGTCAACTATTAAAACAAAAGTATAAAATAATTTATGAATGGTTAATATTGTGTAACTTAAATATAAATAAGAAATGAATATGAAGTGCATTGATGCGATTGATACGAAAAAACAGCACTACCCTTGTCATGCTATTTGGCAAATATTTTAAGAAAACAAAATGCTGTTATTAGCCAACACAGTGGTTAATTAATGTTATATTACTACACAAACATTATTTTTGTGTACACCAAAATTTTCTTTGTGTGGGCCATAGCGTTTGCGTGATCATGTACTTGTGTGGATGTTTTGTTAAGTAGAAACAAACCTCATATCCTTCACTCTGCATAGCATGGCAAAACAACATAGATTGTAACATACAAATTTATACAATTAGTTTTTATTTAAGTATACCATTACATAAGACTCATTTATTTTATAAAGCAATATAGTAAATAAGCTAAAAATAAATAAGGTTTTGCTTAGAATAAATTAAGGTGAAGTATTTCAAGAGTATAATAATAAGACAGGCAGCAAAGTAATGCGACTAGATAAGTTGGAAGTTCTTACATCATCACCATTGGCAGCCTCCGAGGTCTTCTCCGGATACACTCCAGCGCGTAGAAATGACGCCTTCCAAGAATCGACGTCATCTTGGTTTTCACAGGACAACTCCAACTGCTTGTAATCCTAAATAAAACAGTAAAATAACTTAAAAAGAAAAACAACATTTATTAAGTATTTTTATTTCTGATTCTCATTTCTTTTTAATTTTTACAAAACAATTTGCTGAAAAGTCTACCTCTAGTAGGTTGCATATCATCTATAGTTAAATAGTTATAGTATAGTTATAGAAAGAAGAAAGAGGGAAGATATATATATATTTATATATATATACCCTCTTTTGAGGTGTTTAAATTTGATCTAAACGCAACAGTAAACTACCAATAATTCGGGAGTCACGTAGTCAGTATGCTAGTACCTCCTTTCTTTAAGGTTTGGAGATCGTATCACTACGGAAATACCACAGACGCAAATTATTGTTCCGTAGATTTCTATTTCCTACATTTATCCTAACCAGAGCGCCAATTTGTTTTTACTGTAAAACGACCTTCACGACAACGAGTAAACAACGACATCCTATGAGTAATCATTTGTCACGATATTTGGGGTCAATGACTCCTCAGAGTCATAATACGAGTAGAGTATTATAGACGTAACTAATGATAGCCGGGACCAATAACTTTATATTATTTCCGTAAGATTTTTTTGTTATCCGTACGGTAGTTGATGTTAACGTATTATATGAGATCTCATATGAAATTTTATTCGAGCATTATGAAATTAAATCCGAAACTAGTAAGTCTATTTATTATTAGTTCTTAAAAAGTTTAATTGAAGCTACATATATGATAAAGGTAATATTGAGATGGATTCACTCTTGAACCTGGAGTTAAAACACAACAATTAGTAAATAATAGTTACTTTGTACACGTTCCTGCCTTCAGGATTGAATAGCGCGAACATATGTCGGCGTGACATAAATCCTTGCTCGAGGTCACGCAACTTAAGTCCATCCAATGGGAGCATATATTTCTTTTCCCGTTCTTCCTCATCTTTGTACCAAGAAATGCTCTCAGATGTCAGGACAAACCAGTAATCTCGGGAACCACCTGTTGAAAACAAATGACAGCATTTGAAATGAATGAGAATTTTACACTAGAAAGTTACGAAGACGAATGCAAAATAATAAAAGAATTCAAATAAGAATTAAAAGAAACACTCACCTTTCATTATACCCAAGTTATGTATGCACATGTATCCTTTTCTGATAACCTGGTTTCCTAGTGCCCTATGTCCGGACTTTGTAGAATTCTCTGACTGATTCTGAGCACTGGAAGAAAATGATTCGCTGAATTTACACATTCAATATAGCCCTTCGCAACACCAAATTTTAAACAAAACGTAAGTATAAAAATGTATTATTACTTGGCAAAACCGATGAAATCCTCGTGATTCGTATTCATGTAAGCAAGTTCGCAGTCGATAAGCAGTATCAATTGATCTTTACACATCTGTTCCCGGGAACGAACGTGAGACATGATAATGCGTTCTGTCTCTTCGCGCAATCTGGGGTATCGTGACATCTACAACACATGAATATTGTTGAACAACAGGTAACATTGTGTAGGTAATGTACATAAGTATATACCGATAATTTTCTAAGAACTTAGGATATTTCTGAGGTGAATTGGACTAATTGTATAATTACCCTTTCAGTGCATATACGGACGACATTGGACAACTCCTGCACGACCAGGTCAACACATTTCAGACTCGGCTCCTTTAGCCGAGAAATCTGCTTCTTTACGATGGCCTCGAATGCCATGTCCGGTGTAAATAAGCCCACCTGCGTAACGAAAAATAATTATGTAATAGTACTTATCCTCTTAAATACAACAATGATTACTGATGTTTCGAGGTTTTCTGGTTTATTATTAAGGTTAGTAGTACTATGAAGTCAAATCAATTACTTTTTATTCTTTTCATCAACAATTTTTTACTTTCAATATCTGTTTTTTTTACTTCAAAATAACATAGCACTGAATTCCATGAGGACTGTTTTTTTAACAGTACGCAACCATCCTACCATTTTTTTGTAAATTTTACAAGTCACATCAAAACAGTCTTTGTACTCGTATGTATAATAATGCTTACCCTAATACCGTGGATATTTCTAATAGCGAACGCTATCTCTCTGCGGAGTTCCTTTTCATCAAACTCCATTTTAACGATCTCGAAGGGGAACCTTTCGTGGAACAATCTGTTGATTTTGGCACCGCCGGATAATTCGTTAGTATTGATTTGTGCTGAACCAGAACCTTCGATTGTGCGTTCGAAATCTGTTTGAAGAGTTTGTATCATTCTGTAAAATGAAAACGATGTTTTAAATTTTATTTACCCAAGGCAGGTCGAGTTCTGTTGGATACAGTAGGCAACGCAAAAATAAACGTAAATTGGTAAAGCGTTGCTTCTTTGTAAGGACAACACACACCCTAATAGCGTTTAACATCAGAAACCATGCTGGAACAAGCCTATTAGCAACTGTACTTCATTTAACAAAAACTGTCATATAAAAACTTGAAATGAATTTTAAAGGTTTATTTATTTTTAACTCTAATCAAGATGATTACACAGACTGCAAAGTTTTTTGAGTACGAAATATGGACTTCAAGTATCAGTAATCTATTTGTAGGTTAGGCTCATTTATATTGTTTCTTTAAATTTCCAATGTACCTAAATCATATCGCGATATCTAAACATCTATTTAAGATGTCCCTATAGGTATTAATGGTAACGCTAAGGTTATAGCAAGCAAATAGTTTTCCTTACTCATTTGTGAAGACTTGTCAAAATCTGATTTTCACAATTAGAAGGTTATGCACTGTCACATTTAAAATTATAGTGATGCACACTTACTGTAACATAGCCTTTGTCTTAATAGAAGGGTCATCTGGCCTGAAGTGTTTGTACTGGTCGACATCTTTCTCGAGAGCAAGCAATTGCTTCTGCAGTTTATCGCGGAGACCTGGCAGTGTGTCCCGGATGTGATTTGTCAATTGTTGGTTTAAGACCCGCTGGAGGTAGGGCGTTCCAAGTCGTTCTGCCAAGTGTCGGTAAGAGGGGTGGCTGTGGACATAATAATAACAAATATTCATATGGTTGAACCGCCTTAAACACGAAAGAATGGAATATCAAATATGTATGCTTGAAAGAACTAGCATGTTTGATTTGTCGTCCTGGACTATGAAACTAAGTCCTATTTTGTATTAGTAATTATTATACTTTGCGACGTGTACTGTTTTGTTTTATCATCTAACTATAGAAGAAGTTATAAGCAAAATAAAAAAAAATATTAATAAAAAGTTTAAAAGCGCATTATCGATTCACACTAAGTACACCTAGGCCCGTATTTTAAAAGGTGTCTCAGTCGTGAATCTAGTCTTAAAACTAATTTTAAGTAGAGATTTTATTATTGAACGTCACTTAAAACGAGATTCACCGATCCATACTCAAGTGAGTAATAGCTTATTTTAGAACGATGTTTATGTCGAAATCATTACTTAGGTATAGATTTTGACAGCTGTGATCTTTGTTTACGTGAGACAAGCTGAAACTAGTCTCAAGCGGTGATTTCTAGGGCATTTAGGGGAAATGAATGTGTTTCACGATGATTTCTTTTTGAATAATTACGAAAGATTTACTTTACTTTATTTACGAAAGAATTACTTGGCATACTATCATCAATTTCACTTTCATTTACCTTAATTGATATGAAATTCACCAAAATTCACATTTTACACACACAATACCAGTTTAAATTACCACAACCTTTTGGTTTATGTTAAAAGTATAGTAATTTAAATTTTAGAAATATCAAATAAAAACATCGTTTGACATTTCAACATGACAAGTGTTGATAAATAACTTGAACGTTCCGTTATAGCCTATTCATACAGCTAGTAATTTTATTTTAATATTTATTATACTTAATTTTGAACGAACAACAACCTTGTTAATATGTTAACATTGCTACACTAGGCAATAGTATATTATATACAAATTCACAGAAATTATTTTTGTAAAAGAAAATTATTTTTTAAATAATTAGCTGCGTAATGTGGAATAATAGTGTCAATCACGCGGAAACGTAATTGAGAACAGACTGTAAGTTCAAATCAATACCTGAAACTAGTTTCAACTGAGTAAAACTTAAAACGCGTTCTATAATAAGATCGATACTTAAGATTTGATCTGCACTTAAAACTGGTTTAAGGCAATCAGAGTTCAACCGACACTTGAGACGTCTTTTAAAATACGGGCCCTAGATTCGGTAAAGGTATCTACTCAGAATAACTAATAATAATATTAGATTACGGTCACGCAAAATGTGTGAATTCAACTTAAATATGTGTGTATATAAAGACAGTTTTTAATTTCTTCTTCTAAATCTCTTGGTATTGTTCAAAACCCGACCAAGAAATTCAGATTTCATTTTAAACTATTTATTTACAATATAAAATGTTATTTAAAATGGTTATAGACAATCTTAAATAGGTTCGTTTTTTATGTCAAGAACAGCTTAAAAAAGTTTTGTTTTTATTAATTTATATTGTCCGGGCCTTTGAGAGGACAATGCAAAAGTTCGAAAATTATACCACAGTAGCGTTAAGGGCACTTTGTCATCATTTTCTTTATTATCAGTGCATTGTTTGTGTCAAAAATATGTGTCACCAAAAAGTCCCTAGCTAATTATTTTACAAACAGTTTGTAACAGTCTTATACTGTAAACCGGATTTTTTAAAATTATATATAAATGAATTGCTGTTCGTTAGTCCTATTATAATTCGTAAAAGGCTGGACCGATGTGACTAATTTTGGTCTCGAAATATTTGTCTTCCACAAATATTTTAGGAAAAGTTTAAAAGATAAGAAAATATGGAAAAATGCGAGGAAAATATTAAAAACAACAAATTTATTTTCCCGTTCAAAATGCTCCTTCATGTAAAATATGCAATATTATTTTTAAAAAGACAACTCCCGCACTAGAGATACGTCCTATGTAGCGGGAAAAACATACAGTAAACGGACACAAAGAACACCCGGACTCAGGAAAATAATTTGTGAATCGCACAAAGTGTTGTTCCATGTGTATCCACAACACTCGACACTGTAGGAAACGGCGAAATTGATTGATTATTGATATAGATACTTAAAGAACATTATTAAATAAGAATTTTGTATCGACAACATAAAAACACAGATGAAAAAATTAAATGTCACTATGACAGAGAATACACTATCTACTATAACTTTACAGGTAAATGTACACCATCTGTTGACTTTGAATGAACCGAACTAGACAGATGTGTCTTTGGACAGATTATACAAAAGTTTAAACATTACAAACCCCAAGATATGTTTTGCTTGAACTTGAAAAAACAGTATAATTATGGGATCGTACGTACGAGTACATCTCATGTATTATGATATCTAGAAAAGTAGAAAAAAAGCAGTGAACCGTTACTAAAATAACAAAATATTATTATGACGGACAGCAATATAAGAGCTGAGAATGGCTTTACAAACAAAACACCCATTGTAGCATACTTTACATATACTTTTAAGTTGTATAGAAGAAATGGATAATGAAATTTAACTCAAAACGATATGTCACATTGAGCAATTTGCAATCGTCGCAACTAGGTCAACATGATAAGTGACATATAAATGTATATCGATGTCATAGATGATGTCTCAACTACGCTAGATATGAGTAGTTCCGCTTGTGAAGTATTTAATATAACAGGATTATGTGTTGTACTCCACTATCGCTTCTTAGTGAATCAGAGTATCTTGATGAGATTATGGGATTAAAAGCGACTATCCAGCAGCTTGCTCTGTCACTTTAACATCAACATCCTAAAAGGGCCCGTAATCTATTTTACTGATTCAAGCCGGTTGTGACAAAAACTATTGACAATATTTAGTTTTTTTCTTGTTTATAAGACAACTTCCGCACATACATCCTGTCGGGGGGGTATCACAAAGATTTCACGGACCTGTTGGTCTAGTGGTTAGTGACCTTGACTGCTAAGTCGGAGGTCGTGGGTTCGATTCCCACTCAGGACAAATAATCGTGTGATGAGCACGACCATTTGTTTTGTGTCTGGGTGTAATTTATCTATATTATGCATTTATTTAGAAATGTATAAGTATGTTTATCAGTAGATTGGTTATCATGGTACAGCCTCTGCCTAGTTTGGGATCAGACGTCCGTCTGATCTGTGTGAGATGTAAGAAGTATTATATGCATAGTTATTATTATTATTATACATGAAACGATTCACAAATTGTTGTTCTGAGTCTGGGTGTTCTTGCCCAGACTCAGAACAACAATTTGTGGATCACAAAGTGTTGTGCCATGTGGGGATCGTACCCACAGTGAGGTGACCGTTTAAACTACCATCCGTGCAGTCTAGTAAGATTTGCAACAAAATGACCACTCCGTGACCAGTTAGGCTGTAATTTGTTAATTGTTAGTAATCTTCTAAGCAAAACGAAGTGTATAATAATATGAAATGGTTTAGTAAAATAATAGGTTTCAAGAATCTACTTATATTCTCGTCTGTTATCCTCATTACGTACCTGAGGAAAAATTTTCTCTCAGCTGCGAGTGCAGCAGTAATGTCCTTGCGTCCATCGATATCCTTCTGTGATCGGTTGACGACACCTATGTATCCGCGTCGTAGCGGCAACAGTTTATTTTCCAATACATCACGAGCATCTGTACCTTCATCCATCAAGTCTAACTTTGTTATCACACCAATTGTTCGGAGACCTACATGAAAAGAACGTAAAAATTCATTCATCTAACGGAATATATACTTTATAGAGATAAATGTTTGTTATCAGGTAAGCGTATATCCGCAGCAGTGATTATAACCGTTCATAATTTCATTAACGAACGGTATTGATATAATTAGGCTGCTTGGGGTCATACTACTGTAAATAAGATAGTCGTATCATTTTTACAACACCTAGGTACATAAGTTATTAAAAACTACTGCAGTGGTTAGTAGGTGGAGGTAAGTGGTATGTTTTTCTACGTTCAAGAGTACTGATACGTCTTAAAAAATAAACATTCTGTTTATTGCTTTGTGAAAAAATATTATAGACGTAGGTACATATCATACAAGTACACAGCCATATTTTTGGATTTGGAGTTGGCAAAACAAAGAAAATACCATTATCTTTTCTTTTTTCATTGTTTTTATTTTCTTTTCACGTAGCAAACTTGAATATGAATCATCATTGTACAGTAAAAAAGGCACGATTACAAAAGGGATAATATATGTAACAGATACAAAACAAAACTATCCAGATGGGAAATATCCGTTAATCTTCCAGACTACGATATTTGTGATGGTAAATAATGAATATTACATAAAATATTTTTTTATCACCAGAATAAAATATGTTAAACACTGAATAAATATAAAATCAGAAGTTTTATAAAATGTAGGGCAATGTTTACCTTGTGGGTCGACTTCTTTTGCAAGTTTCAAGGCATCACTGTTAGCTAAATCAGTATTTGCTGGGGTGACGGCAAGGATGAGGCACGACTCGCGCCTTATAAACTGGAAAATCATTCCTTTGATCTGCTGCTCGATATCAGGCGGCTGGTCACCGATGGGTACTTTTGTAAGACCCGGCAAGTCGATCAGGGTCAAGTTAAGCACTGAAATTTAAAATAACCATCTGCATAGTCTGCATTGACTTTAATTCAAAGCTATGTTACACTACATATTATAAAACGAAGTTCCCCTCTGCGCCCGCAAAAACTACTGATCGGATTTTAATGTTGTTTTTAAGGAAGCTTGAGATGTGTAATTTATTAAGGTTTTGTATTAAAATATGCTCTACTACCCATGCGCAGCCCAGTGCGGTGCCCAAAGCTAGTACTGACTAAAATATTTTTTTCTTAAAATCACCTAATAAATTCATATCATAGATTATGTAAAGGAAGGTAAAAAAAATGTATTAAATACATGTAAAAATGTATTAAATACATGTAAAAAAAAAGTATTAAATACTTTTTTAGAATAATGTGTATCCATGGAGGATACACATTATTCTTGTGTCACTGTAAGACAAAAGATTATAATTATTATGAGAAAGCATGGCATACATATCAATGTGGCCGTAAACAAAGCGGTGACCTATAAACCTGCATTGCATGCCAAAATATAATTATTGTTTTGTTGTCTTTAATACCAACTGTGCTTCATGCGCACTGTTTGGACACGCTTGTGTGTGAAGAATAACAGAAGATCATTGTTATTGAACAGAAGCAATACAGTATAACAAAATCAAAACTAGAAACAATACAGCAATGATACTACAAACATAATTACACCAGTGATGATGAAATCAGCAATAGTCATGACTAGAACCAAAATTAAAAAAAAAAACGCAATTCTTATCTCTCTCTGGTTTAAATTTAAAACTTTTTCTTTATACATATCTCTATACATTACAAAACATTATGCAACAGTATAATCCTATAGTAGATATGTTTAATGTACGCGTGCTATATATGATGCACATATTGACATGCATCACATCAACAACCTTTAATAGTCCACTGCTGGAAATAGGCCTCTCCTTAGAAAGGAGGTTTTGGCCTACTATACCACCCTGGCCAGACGATTTGGTATAGGGCTTGTGTCAAGTTTTCCTTCTCTCTGCAGTCCCTTAGTGCTTAGTGCCGGCTCTTACAACACCCACGGTATAATAGGGGTCCATACATATTTTACGTAGTGTAACAACTCTTGCCCACCCACAGCTTTAACGAGAATGACATCACGGCGTCATAGAAACTGTGTAAACTGATACTGTAAAGTAAAGACCTACAGGAGAAAGAAGAAATATCTATTTCTTATTTTTTGAGGTCGTCAACCGGTTTATACTTTTGCACCTATGTAATTTATGATGAAAGGAACTCTACATAGCAACAAAGTTACATTGTCTCTATAGGTACAACCGTCATCCTCCGCGCGACGTAATCACGACGACAGATTGCTTTGCTTGACAAGTAGGTGTATCAAGCAACGCTATCACTATCTCAGGCCAAATTGTTGCCATCGTCCCAAATCCATGCCTGTTTTATCATGGTAAAGGTCGGCAAACAAGCAAACGGGTCACCTGATGTTAAGCGACAAGCTGCCGCCCATGGACCCCTGCAACTCAAAGAGTCACAAGTACGTTGCCGCCCTTTAAGCCCTACCTCACAAATTAATGGGAGGGGAAGGGGAATTTTGGATCCGGGAACTCCACTAACTAGGTAAAAAGAAACAAAAAGCTACTTAAAGGTATATATATATAGAAAGCATTTCATTACAACGATCTTGTTTGACTAAACAAATTAAGGTAATTTATTATTTCTCAACTAATGTGAATAATTGTAAATATAAATTGCCTAAATATGAAGTGTCTGGACGGTATTAAGAGGCCCTGTTTTTTTTTATTTGACGAGCTTTTAACACATCGTCGCAATCATAACGTGTACTAAAAAAAAAAACAATGGTTGTAAACGTAATAATTATTAACCTTATCAAAATTAAAACAAGCAAAACAGTCTCGTACACAAATTTCACAACTGACTATTGCAGAAAATGCTGTGCTTGAGAACTGTCTCATTATTTTAATTTTTTAACATTTACCTACATCATAATTAGCATAACTGCAAAATCATTTGAGATCATTGAGAGCACCTTGTAAAATCAATTCTTACTTGTCCCGTAAAAGTTACTTATAAGTTGTACATTTATATTAAACGCATGTCCTCTGCAAATACGGAGTGGTTATTAAATAATGCCTATCAGTTTAATGCTCAACAAATACAGACTAAAGTGTGATGCGCAATTCATGCGAGCCTATGATCAATGATAATCTACTAACATATTATTTCCTACTTGCTCGCATTGACAGAAAAAAAGAGGAAATTCGAGGAACAAATCGAGATGAAATGACGATTTTAGTGAAAAAAATAACGATAAGCATGTTCATCAATGAAAGACCGACCTCTTCAGTAATAGAGAAGCATAGAGGACGAAGTCAAAGAGGAATTTTTCAAATAAATATTCGTGAACCACGTGAAGTTTGGCTTTATCTTTATTTATCAAGCTAGGCGATAAATTCTTTAAACCATCAAAGTATATATCTAGTGCCTATACAAAGAGCGTCATAATAATCCAGATCAACTACACTTAACGATAAGTATGTAATGAATCATGTATGTATGTATGTATTAGGTAAAAAAGTGTGTCTCATTCTAATAAAAACGGATGGATTGATGGATGGAGCATTTTTCTATTCTATTCTACAATAAGAACCATCTTATCGTAGAACTTTGGTTTCCTATAATTGTATACGACTGCGTTGGCTTGTAAAATGCGGTAATCTGTTTCATGACGATGTTGTATTGGTATTAGTTAAGTAGTTAAAGATTTAATAGGTTAAAAAGGGTTAAAGTGTTTCTATTGAAAGCGGTAATAAGCTGTCAAGAGTTAACTACCTATTGTTCGTTACGGTGTGGCTGTTAAAAATACTGAAAACTTTTAGATAAAATGTGTTAACAACGTGATTATTTCTAGTCCTAGGTCGGGCAGAGCTCTCAGATGTAGAATCGTTCGAGAGCACCCATACTCCATAATATTTTTAGGTCATACGAAGAAAATAATAAAACTGTGTTTGCCTACAAAGAGTAGTGTAATAATGGTATGACAGGGAATCCAGTGTAGATAACACTTTATTCCCTGTCAAGTATAGATGAGACAGATGTTATGTCAAAAGCAGTGCGATCGATACTTATGAATGGAGTTTTCGATAACAATGCATCCGTACCTATCTCCTAATTGTGCCACCAATACATATAATTACATTAACAGAGAATTGATAATGGGTCTTGATAGTATAGTGAATTGATAATACACTATCACTAAACTAGGCATTCCCTTATCTAAAGCAACTCCATAAAACACTGACTCATTATTTGTATACACTGTTAACTTCCGTCATTCAGCCGTAGGTTTTATAAAAATTTACGTAACAAACGATTTCACATATAATTATCACTCATTCTACTTACTCAAATCTATCTATCAGACGCGATGGCTGAACATTTTGGTTGGTGGCAAAATCGAATTACAACCATTAAAGCTACTCTTGGCTAACAAGAGCCATATTCTTATTTTGGTTACTGGAATAGTTATCTGTCAAAAATATAACGACATTGACCTTGTCTAGTCATTGATCTCAGTTTCTTTGTTGAATTGCTTGCTGTAGCGTCAATTACAATTGAAATTTATGATGATTTTTCTGTTAATAGGGAAACAAAGAAGAAGTTTGATCGGTTACTGGTTGTGATCATTCCCAATTTACCAGAAGGAAAACACATTGCAATAAGATCGGCTCCAAATATAATTCATAAATTCATTATGTATTTGTGGGGCAAAAAGGAAATACCTAAATAACGAAAAATATTTGTATTATCGTTGTATAAAATGATAAGCGACAGAAGACACATTCGGAGGTCGTTGACATACATCATAAAATGTATATATATTTATATACACGTTTATACCCCACATGGTATCTATATGTTTAGTTTTCTAACTACTGTAACCAGACATTCCTATTTACTTGGTTATTTTTCCCTTTCACGTTACTCGTTTTCCGCAGGGTCTTATTTTATATAGATAAAGTTTTTTACTATACTTACCATTTGGAGAATAGACGCGGAGATTAATCGGCACGGGCGATATTCCCTTATTGGAACCGGTAATACGATCGGTTTCTCCTTCAATCTCTGCCCGGACCTCATTAAAATCGACGAATTTCTTGCCTTTGCAATGAAGAAACTCGGCGTATTCTATGAAAAAAAAAACAATCATTCACAATTTATTCTTTCATAGCATTAACTTAATATACTCCTACCTCAAAAATATGAATTTAAAACTACAATAATCTCAATCGTCACATGTCAAATAATATATGGCGGTAGGTACGTTTATTTCATCATAATATAAGATATTAATTAAAAATAACTTAACGAAAACTGTACTTGCCTAGGTGACGAAGGCCTTAAAAGAAAATACATAATTATAATGATTTAAGTGACTTATTATTAATATTGCAAATGTCCTGTTTCGAAGAATCAATGTTGGTGGTGTGGTTTAAAAAACATTTTACGCTATAATTATAGTTTTACTAATGGTTGAACGAATGAATACTTGATTCCTTGTTCTTCCCACCAAGTTAATTGTAATATGTACAAGGGTACACTTTGCAGATACGGAAGGCCTACGACCATTAAACGTAACCGGAATCACAACTTTAGCAAAAAAAGAAATGGTAGAAATGTGAAAACGTTTTCTTAAAATGCAACTGTTTTGTGGAATAATAAGATTTTATAAACAGGTATATACGGTAATTGGCTGTATTAGTAAGCCAATTAGTTGATTTATCATTCAGAATTCTGTTGAAGGTTATGTTCACATTTTGCAGTTACTATTGGTAAATTCATAACAATTAAATACTGTGGGTACTTTAAATTGTGTTATTCGCTGTTACTTTCAATTACCTGCATTTCCATGTATGAGCTGCAATATCAGGGGTCGACGAGTGACTATTCCAGAACCTCTGGGTAAGAAGTCTCTGAAACAAGAAGAATTGTTGAAGAAATTTTCTGACATGGACTAAAAGTCCGCTTAATCCGTGAACCATTACGCTGACAAAGCTCTTTAACCCTAAATAAAGTTGGTTGATGTCACGCAAATTACCCGGAATATTATCATCGTGATAATGAGTCACAATAAATTGCAAACGCGATGTAATCAATGCTCTAAGTGATTTTAGAGTATTAACATTATATTATATATGCATATAAACACAAAACAAAAAACCTAAGTCGCAAAATAGTTCTTTTATCTTAAATTCTAACTAAAAAGATGTCTCAGGAGGTGGGAACAACCCTCAGGAGGGTCGTTCCCACCGGTATTGGCCGTAGGCCACCCACTCTCTCCCACCCGGGAGAGAGGCACTGCCGTCTTCGTTGCCCAGGGTGCACCACATGGAGGTTCCAGACCCCGCACCCCTGCACATTTAGCCCCTATCATCGCAGTAATATATCTATCATCGCAATAATTTTATAACAATAAACTTGTATTGTTAGGACCTGCTTAGGCATGTTGCGTCTAGACAATATGTTATTGTAGTAGGTAAGTATATCAATTACTATAAGGTGTCTTGTGGTTGGGGCAACAAACTGCTACTGCTAAATGTTTTACCAAGGTGACAGTGGCTGACATTTTAGGTCGCTCTGTTTCCTCTGATTAGGTTACACTACATGAAGAATTATAGAAGAACTCTCATGGTCGTTGCCGATGTTCATTATTCGACTCACCCGGTGGGACCAACTACACTGTATCAATATGCTATAAAAAATCTGCAATTATCAGTATATTTTCAGGAAATAGCAAGTGAGCAATTTGTTTTTTCCCTAAGTATTACAGTAGTATTAAAGTAGTAACTGAGGGTTCGGAGCACACTTATTACTTAGAATAGGTTAGATTCCAATGGGTAAAATAAATTGTATAACTGTCATCATTAAATAACGTACATAAGATTGTAAAAAATATATATCGCATTTAATGTTGTTACTATGTAATTAATATATAATAGCAACACGGACTACTGCTGATAAACTTCCTCGAGGCCCAGAAAAAAAAAAAAAAAAAAAAAAAAAGGGGGCTCTATTTGATAAACTCCTTCATCAAAAGTAGCCGTACAGGATCCAGACCTGGTTAAGCCCCGATAAAGCGATGACAGGATGATAAAGTGATGAAGCGACAGGAAATTAATAGGCAAGTAAGACGAGACGTTCGACATCGATATTAGGCTTTGTTTTATAAAGCTGACATTTCGACATATATGTCAAAATTTGACGAAATCGTAGAATTTTCGCTATTAGGAATTTTAATAAAAGTGACAAATAATAAAATCAACGGGTAAAATCTAGACATATTTGTCATTCAAAAACTCGTTTTATAAAACTCGACGTATATTAAGAAAACCAGTCAAATTATTACAGACAATGGTCGATGACAATTATATAATAGCAACACGGACTACTGCTGATAAACTTCCTCGAGGCCCAGAAAAAAAAAAAAAAAGGGGGGGCTCTATTTGATAAACTCCTTCATCACAAGTAGCCGTACAGGATCCAGACGTGGTTAAGCCCCGATAAAGCGATGACAGGATGATAAAGTGATGAAGCGACAGGAACTTAATAGGCAAGTAAGACGAGACGTTCGACATCGATATTAGGCTTTGTTTTATAAAGCTGACATTTCGACATATATGTCAAAATTTGACGAAATCGTAGAATTTTCGCTATTAGGATGTTTAATAAAAGTGACAAATAATAAAATCAACGGGTAAAATCTTGACATATTTGTCATTCAAAAACGCGTTTTATAAAACTCAAATTATTACAGACAATGGTCGATGACAATTATGTCGACCTTTGACGTATAGCAAACCATTTTGTTTTCTGAAAATAAAATGTTAACAAAGTAAAAGAATGAATCGATCACTAATCTAACTTCGATTGTTTGTTTTGATCTTAGGGCTTTATTTATAAAAATAGAAATATACTCTTTGGGAAGTTTAATGACCAATTGACCCACGATATAAAAATAAATAAATGGGAGGAAATCGCTTAACAATATAGATTATAAATTAGGGATCATAAGCCACGTTTTTAAACCATATCCACTGACTCCCAGAATAATGCGTTTGGGAATGGTCTCCATCCACTTCCAACGCCTGTGCTAAAGGTGACCACCAGGCCATGTTGCAGATGGGTAGCAAATTCCTAAGTTTGACCCACATACCACCATAGTATTAATTTAATGGTTCCCGTTTCTATCTACACGCAGATTCATTTTGAAATGGCGCTTCTAGAGAAATTAACGTACCGACCACAATATCAGATATTCTAGGTATCCTATTATGCCTTATGAAAAGTGTTGATATTCGGTTACTCTTCTCCGAGTAATTCAGTGGTCACGGCCCTACAAACCCTTCTTATGCAATGATGTACGGTTGCTTTACTAAGACCAATAACGTGGTACCACAACCCATCCAATGCAAAGCGCATAAAATTTGTTTATAGGGGGTAAGTGCTTGGCTTCTGCTTGTAACGTGTAACTAATTTTATCAATTAAATATTCTATGTTTTATGTACCGGTTTTTTTTCTATAAAGCAGAAATCTGTAATTCAGAAAGAGTAACTGATTTTGCTTTAAATGATCTTTGTTGCCTCCTCGTTTGTATTAGTTTCAAGTATTCATGATCACTACTCTCACTGCTCGATGTTAGTACCATTTTTTGTAGTAAAACTTTTATACTATATACACTCTCTTATACCTTCAAAATATGATTTCGCGACAGAGGGTAACGTTCCTGTCAGAATTGTTGGACAATTCTACATATATGTCAATATGTCATGACAATTTTATGTTCAATAAAGCAGATTTGACAAGTTTTTCACGTCAAATTATCACCTGTTCGCTCAAATTTTTTTATAAAACAGAAAAATTGACGAATTGTCACTTTTTGACATCTGTCAGACTTGTCGGATTGTCAGCTTTATAAAACAGGGCTCTATTGTCACCTGTCCAAACTCAAAACTGCACAAAGCATCACCATCACCTATAAAACAGAGATTGTCGCTGAAGTCAAAAAGTTTTATGAGGTGGTTTACCTATACATCTCACGAAAACAGCACGGATAACCCGCGTGCAAGGCTAACACGCCACCTCTCAGACGAGCTTCCTGATATTGATCTCGGCGATAGGACAACTAATTAATAACAAAGCTCCGGGCAAAGACGGAATCACAATAGAGCTCCTAAGCCGGAGGAACTATATGTTAGTAGAGCTCTCAAAGGTTTATTCCGTCATTTATACTAACCGGAGACATAGAGCAAAAGCGTAGTAGTACTGTTTTTCTAAAAAGGAGACAAAAACCTACTGAAGAACTACCGCCCCATATGTGGCTCCTGAGTCATGTGTACAAGTTATTTTCGAGGGTCATTACGAATCGTTTTTCCCACGAATTCGACGACTTCCAAGCCCGTCAAGTCTCGGGCACAAAAAGGTTGCACCGTGCACCGTGGACTACATACACACAATAAGGCAAATAATAGAGAAGGCATGGAGTATAATTAGCCTCTCTGCCAGCCAGCCTCTCGTAGTCCACTTACGCTATATGTGGACTACGAGAAGGCCTTCGATGTCATCCAGACCTGGGCTTTCATGTAATCTATGCAGATTCCTGGTCGACTGCGAACTTGTGCTGAGATATCTCTACGAAGTCGTAACGATGACCGTACAAGTACAAGAACAGAGGACAAGACCAATCCAATTGCATTGTGGGGTAAGACTGGGAGATGTTATGCCTATCTCCGAAACTGTTTAACAAAACATTGGTAGACGTCTTCAAGTCGCTCGATTGGAACGCTGAAGTGGAAATGGCCCGGTTATGTCTCCAGACGGACTGATGGTTGCTGGAGCCCACTTGTTCCAGAGTGGAGACAGCGATTAAGCAAACGCAGGGCACCCTGCGGCAAATGGATCGACAACTTAAGGATATTTCTGGCAGCGGTTGGATGCGGATTGCCGAGCGCTCCTTGGGGGGTTTCGCTTTCGTTCAGCAGTAGATGGCAATAGACTGATGATTAATTGATTGATTGAGCAACACGGACTAAGAATGGGTCAGGGATGAAATCTGAACTTTTATGATTTATACACAATCCTTAAATAAGGAATGATTAAAGAAAGCACTGGTTATAACCAGTTCATGTATATGGGTATGATTTTACCAATCACCAATTAAATGTATTTTCAATGGTCATTGCCATTTCAAAATATAACCTAAGATATACTAAATTAGATTGGTACTTGCTTAGAATGTACTGAACTTTATATGTGTGAATACATAAGTACTGAGTTTTACAGAAATGATTTTAACCACAAACTGGCCAAAAAGTTGTATAACACTGAAATAATTGTTTTTTTTTTAAAACAAACTGTGAACTCATATATTAGATTTCATGAATCACTTTTTCACAGAATGTAAATAAAAAATACAATGTGTTATTAAAAGAATAATGGCCAGAATAGTAATTATAGATTCTGAGAAAATAAATGCTGATTACTCTAAAATAAACAGTATATCTTACTAAAAATAAATAGTGCAGCCCTATTCAAATCTAGTATAAATCAAATCAAGTATTTTAAGTATAAATCAAAATAATGGTACTGGTGCAATACGCCACAAGCATGTCGAGATCATAGGTGAAGTGAACCCATATGTTAATACCCTATGAAAAATCTCTTAATGTGGCTAAAGAGGTTTTCATGTCAAAAAAAATTTTAAATATAATGATCATAAAATATAACTTTTACGAATTGAAATAAATAGGGACTAGTCTCAAACAAGCTAATTAAAAAAAAAAAACAGGACAGGCTGAATATATATACTCAAAATTAGCACGAATTACACAACGCCTCAACTACAGAGTGCGCTAAAGTATTATACATACTTATTACATAGACACAAAATACCTAACCCTCCTGGCAGTTGGGTTATTTTTTTTTATTTAATGTCTAGTTGAGAAACTGAGCATTAAGATGTATGTTTTTTCGACCACATTTTATTACGTAGGACTTAACCAGCCACCATCAAAACATGTATAATCTTTTATTCCTTTGCACCATTTCCTTAAGTTTACATAAGATTAAAGAACAACCATTAAATTAACTTTTTTATAGAACTGTTTTAAAGAGTTTCTGCCCACTGGGCCTACTCATGTGTATGTTAGAATCAAACCTACTAAAACCACCTTACCATAGGTAGAGCATAAGTAACAAGGAGCCTCTTCTATCAGTGGGCATGCTAAGAAAACATCACTTCATTATGTCCAATGTGTTTGTATAGAGTTGTATTGAGCCATATACTAATTAATTTGCTTATCAAATGTCAATTGTTGCATTGAATAGGTTTTAAAATAGCAGCCATAATTAAGATATGTATACTTATATACGAGTACATAGTCATATAGCCTATGTCCTATAGCAGGGGTCGACAAGTAATTTTTAACAGGATCTGGATCTTGTCGAATCTTTTATCGAGGTCAAGGAATAGAATTGACTTGATTGATTGAAGAATGAGAAGGAAAAAAAAACTCACTAGTTTTAAGATCATTATTAACGACATTTAAAATTTGTAACTAAACAAATCACAACAGTCATTCGTACCTACAGGTATTAACAGTGAGTATTAGCTAACTATCTTTGGAGTTTAAATTAAATAGACAGGGTTATTTAAAATATTCGGCGGTCCAAGGTTAGACCTACCTCGGTCCATATCCGGGTCGCGGTCCTTCTTTGCATACCCCTGGTCTATGGCTTACCTCGATAAATGGGCTATCCAACACTAAAATAATTATTTAATTTGAACCAGTAGTTCCTCAGATTAGTCCATTCAACCAATCACAGTAATTCTTCAGCTTTTTATTATTAGTACAGATTAAATTAAATCCCAAAGCTTTTGCCTCAACAGTAATACCAAGGATATCAAGGATATAGTAATATTTATAAAGTGTCTCCAATATCTCTCTTGGATACTACTGGATTACTATTAAATGAAGAATGAATATGAGAAAAATATCTGAATAACGAGATAGTCAGAACCAAACATGACAAAAAATGTGAAGAGATACTAAGAAGAATAAAATAACTTATGATAATTCTATTAACGCCCTCTAATATTTTTTTTTTCTATTATATATTTAGGCACATCAAAGGTGATTTGAAACTTTTAATGAAGTTACAACGAACCAATTGGCTTTTCAAGACACATTATCTAACTTGTTCTACTGATTTAGGCCTTTATAAACAAAGACATTAGGTAAGTACAACATCATTTACTATTTTTTAAGCTTTATGGACATTAAATACGACACTTCATAACTTCCTTTAAATATTTGAAGTCTCACCTGCCTACAAAATTTTCTAACACTGAACTCTTTCCTGCTGATTGACCACCCACAACTGCAATTTGGGGAAGATCTAAAGACATGTGCACGCCCATTTGCACAAATGCATCTTGCAATTTGTTTACAACAGGAATTAGCTGCTGCATTCCGTGATTTCCAGCCATTTTTTCTAATATACATTAAACTTTTATCACTTTAAAACACTAATAACACTTGCTCATCATCAATTCATCATCGATAAACTAATTTATTTTTCAATATGGTGGTGGGTGGTTCTTACGTTACGTTTCGATTCACCTACTGTCAAAAGAAACAAAGCGCAGCACAGATTAGTTTCAAAACATTTTCTGTCTCTGTCTGTATAATAGAAGGTCTTATACGTAACAAATATGGTTAAAAGCGAGAAAACCGATCATTAAATTAATACCAAGCAATACACTAAAGGAAAAAAGTCAACAATTAGAAATTAATTTATATTAACTAATAAAAATAATTATAGTGAAGTTCGTGAAAGAAATAATCCCACAGCCGATGACATTTAGAACATTGCAAATCAATACTACTCGACATGCGCACTAAATCTAGGCCAAAACATAAAATGTATCGGATTTTACTCTACTGATGTAAGATTAATTATGTTTACCGATTGATTTATTTTTATTTGAAAAGTAGGTATTTTAGAACATAATACTACTGGTTTAAAAATTACGACATAATGTTGCCACAGAAAATGTCATGTTACTAAAAGTCTCAAACTTTTATTTATTCGTCTTAATGTAAGCTGAATTAACATAAGACTACATTTGTAATATTTCAGTAACTCAACCTTCCCAAAATACCTAGGTCCACTACTAACGCAATCCGACATGTTATATTCAACCACTCTTTGTCTTACGTAAGTCCCTGTTAAATAAGAGATTTAATGGAAGTTAATAAAATATTAACACATTGGGTATACTCAATATTCTAATATAGATACGAAATTAAAATGATGAATATAGAGATTATCTATAAAAAATACTGTGTGTTATTTTAAATAAATACCTTTCTCTTATTGTAAAATTCTCTATTATTTAGCAAAAGTTTTTTTTTAAAAGCTTCAACTAAATATATCGTAGTGATATTTAACTTATTGAAGATAAATGTTGAAGAAATAATGTTTTTAAATTCAAACTCACCTGCCCACAAAATTTTCCAACACAGAACTTTTCCCTGCAGACTGTCCACCCACAACTGCAATTTGTGGTAAATCCAGTTGCATATGCACACCCAATTGCGTAAATGCATCTTGCAATTTATTAACTATTGGAATCAATTGTTCCATTCCCATATTCCCGGCCATGGCTGCCGGTTTTCTCAAATACTCCTCCTATTATGAGCTTCTCCGCAGATATTTCCTTACTGATTTTTCTTTCATCAATATGGTGCAAAGATGTTGTGCGCAGGCGTAAATAGAAGGGAAGAGACATATAAAATGCTGTCTTGGTTAAAAAAATATCGAAAGGTAATATTAAAATTGATAGTTTTTTACATGCTTCAAAATAAAAAATATACCTAGGAATAATATCTATATATATAAAAGAAAGTCGTGTTAGTTACACTATTTATAACTCAAGAACGGCTTTACCGATATGGTTGAAAATTGGTGAGGAGGTAGCTTAGAGCCAGGAGACGGACATAGGATACTATTTATTCCGTATTTATTTTTTTTGTATCGACGTCGATCACCAGATGACAACGGAGAAACTGTCACAGCAAAAGTGAAAAGAATGGATTTCGTTGTCGACAACAGTTGGATTGTTCCATATTCGCCACTTACCTATTTCTAAAACGTTCAAGACACATTGCAACGTTGAGTATTGCAATTCAGTAAAGTCCATAAAATATATTTGCAAATATATCACGAAAGGCAGCGATATGGCGGTTTTTGGATTGCAATCCTCAAATACCAACGATTAAATTTCACGCTATCAAGTTGATCGTTAGGTATGTAAACTGTAATGAAGCGATTTGGCGTATATTCGCATTCCCTATTCACGAACGTCATCCTACTGTTGTGCATTTGGCGGTGCATCTGGAGAATGGTCAACGAGTATACTTCACGGCTTCGAATGCTATGCAACGTGCTGAAACACCTCCAGCAACTACATTGACCAGTTTCTTTGCGATCTGCCAAAGCGATCCGTTTGCACGAACTTTGTTTTACTCGGAGATGCCACGTTATTATACTTGGAATGCTTCATCGAAGAATTTTCAAAGACGGAAGCAAGGCGATGCGGTTCCTGGGTATCCGGATGTGCGTTCTACTGATGCTCTTGGTCGTATGTATACAGTTCATCCAAAGAATGATGAATGTTTCTATTTGCGGTTGTTGATGGCAAATGTGCGTGGGCCAACGTCATTTGTTAAATAATAAATGATTAATGTACTTATTTTTTTTTCTAAGAAAAAAATTAACTTACTGAATTCGAAAATCGGCTTATTTATTGCCTTTAAGGCGAAACAGAGTTCGCCGGGTCAGCTAGTATTAAACTAAAATAAAAAAGTAATCCTTTAAATGTTCGTTAGCTTTGAATCTTTAGAAGCTTTTTACCAATGGAAACCCTTCCAGGTATCTCAAGTCTAGTCATTACGTATTATTTATGTGAAATAGATGTGATTGTGTTTTAAGATATTTCAACTCGTAATTATTTAAAAAAAAAAATATAACTCCAACCAAAGTGAAAACTTTGTAATGTATTTTTACATTTTTATAATATTTTAATGACATAATTTGCATGAATATTAAACTTACATCTATAGGGTAGATTAAAACTCCCCTGGGATAGGGCCTAGGTATGGTGTCAATTCGGGGAGGACCTGAAATAACATGGTCCAGGTCCTCCCAGAGTAGGGCCATCTGAGGCCGGTCGTCGGGGTGGTTTTTAGTGGCATCACGACATACTCCTAGCTCCTAGCCCCGAGGAGCAGGAGATCCGAAGGGATTTTCCACCCCGTCAAAAAAAAATAGATGTGTAGATTAAAACTGTAGTTTGTCAGAACTGACATCTATTAAAAACAGAGAGAATAAGAATGTTTTTGCAATATTTAGAGCCGTAACAACCGTTACTTGACCGAACAAGTTCAGTACGTATAAGTAGTGAGCAGTAGTGAGTATTATAAAACAGAGATTGTTTACAACAGCCTCGTTTATAAATTGAAGATAAACTTATTAAAAATCGAAAGGATTAACGGTGTCATTTTAAAACGACATCTACGGTGCATAATGTGTATTTAAAAATATCCACACATCGGTAGGTACCATTTTTTTTTCTGTGCTGAAATCTCCTCGGATACTACCCATTCGGTGGTTATGTCGGACTCGAACCGACCAAAAACCGCACGTCATCTCGGGTACCAGTTGCTGGGGAACCAGGTGTACCGTAGGAGGGAATCCCTGAAGGAACATCGGTAGGTACCTATACGTACAAATGAATTTCACTTGATGCAAACATAATTACAGATAAGGGTATACCTTTAATATGTTTTTTTTTATGATGAAATAACTTAAATTTTTATGAAGTACTTTGAATTCGAAATATCGGGAATTTACTCTCTTAATAATATAATATTTGGGGCATCTGACACAACGCCATCTAGTTTCAAACTAAGCTGAGTTTGTACTATGAAAGCTAGATTGACTGATAGAATACTTATTTACATTTTTAAAATACTTACAGTTAAACCAATATATAAATATACTCAAATAGTTTGTAAATGGGAAGTAAGTTCCAAGTATTAGTCGTAAGAAGGCAAGTGTGCCAATGCCAACAGAAGTAAACTGTTGGGGGTAATTGGGTTTCTATAACCTCACTCAAACGGTAAAGAGCAATAAAAAATTGCTAATACATGTTTTCAAACGCAGTCGGATAAACACCACATTAGAGACGCATTAGTTTACTTGCTGAATAGAAATACTGCTAGAAAAGCACGGTACAAGGAGAAAGGAAAAATGCAAAAAATCGAAAATGTACGGATAAATAAAGTATTTACTACCATTGCCTGAGAGGCTTAGCCTGTGACGACTGTGACAATTCAAACGTATTTGACACCTGTTTTAATCGCGTTAATTCAATTAGAAATTGTTATAAATGATCTACACTTTAAGAACACTGTAGACAATGAGCGTACTCAAAATGGTAAGGTGAGGCGCTTGTCCCACTCTCCACCCTAACTTACACCCTTTTTAAGTGACAAAAATTTTAAACATTTTATCAAGTAAATGTTCCAATGCAACAGCGAAATTTAGTTTTGGTAGAATAATATTATAAAGACACAGCGGTTTTGGTGTATGGAAGAAGATAGAGCTAAAATTGAGCTTACATATTTAGCAAATACTTGGTGAGGCGACATTCAATTGTCCCCTCCATTCGTTGACTTTTTTACTATACACGTTGAAATTGGAAGTAAGTACTGCTAGTGGCCCGGTGGTTTTAAAAACAGCTGTCCCCGGATACCTCCTAATTCAGTGGGGTGGGATGATGGCCCGAGGTGGTAAGCTCTAGGAAAGCGTCGAGAAAAGGTTGGTTAGGTGAGCCAACCAAGCTCCTTCGAGAAGCGCAGAAGTCTCCTAAGGCGTTCATTCACTTCCCCGAGCTATTCTTTATCAGGTATGATACGAGCCCGTTAAGTGCCTACTCCATCATATTACAGGATTACGTCTTCTGCTTTCAGATATCCGACCGATATGGGACCATCCGATGCATTAATGTTGATTAGTTGTCAGTTCAGGGCCAGCTGACCTGTTATAGTTCTTACAACTATTCGGATGTTTAGTCTGGTTAGACTAATCAATCTGTAAGTCGTGTTAAGATTTCAGTCAGCACCAGTTTGGACTGTCTGCAGCCGGATAATTTTTTCCACTTTCGGTTGTGTACTTTAGGACTACGTTGCCTAGCCTAGGAGCGAAGTTAGGTAAATGGTTTGATTCACTGGAGGAGTACACTATTTTTTGTGTCTAGCTGCTCCAATGATGGCATATGAAGACAATACCAGTGTACTGTGTAGCCTTCCAGTGCTCTTAGGACGGCCATGCTACCTGACTATTCGAATGTTATATTCCTTAACACCCTTTCCACACATGATCATCTCCATTCCCGACAGGTCCCCTGTCAATTTGTAGTAGTAGTAGTTTACGCAGAATAAAAACTTGGCTACTATCGATAATAATAGAAAACCTACTTGTCGGACTCTGCATAATGAGTGTGCACAGGAAGAGGGCTTCTGGAAGCACAAAATAAAACTATAAACTTAAGCAGGTTTTGCAGCATTCCTCGAAGGTAATTATTGAAATAAGGTTAGAAGTAAATAGTATTTTAAATTCCAATTATTTGTCTAGTTTTATTAATATTGCCCCACTCCTAGTTAAATTCTGGGTACGCCCATGGTGTATACAATATTATATACATAGTGTATACAAAGTATTATTAAAAACTAAATAAGCTAATTCGGCAAAATGCAAATGAAGCGTCCATACTAACCTAATTGGATATTAAGTAGACTTCTAATTAATTAAAAACATAATTTTGAATGGTGATTTTATTAAAAGCAACGGAGACTACAGCGACGTGGGCCAATGACCATAGATATAGTTCAAGTAGTAGAAGTTTGTACTTCATTTTTTTTTACCTAGCAAATCAGCCTGTTAAATGCCGTAATTGTTTCACTATTTAACCAATAGGGAGCGTTGTGTCGCGTCTTTGTGACGTCACGTTATTGATTGTAAAAAGGAAGGAGATCGTCTTTTGGAGACGCCATCTTAAAATAAAGTGATATAAGTTTTGGTAGCGTAGATTATAGTTTAAATCTAAAGTAATCTTCATTTAGAAATTAGCAATCGAGCTTAGGTAATTTTTATTCCATATAACCAAGTGTAACGGACCAAGGTACTTTTTTATTTTCGTTTCATTGTTTTCTAGGACGATAAAAATTAGTTTATTTACCGTTCTTTTACATGAATATTGTTAGTACCGTTACTTTGAGCCAGATAGTTGAAAGTTTTAAAACGGACGAACAACAAGACTGTGCTAAGAAACGTAATTGAAATAAAAGTCATCGATCCAGCGTTCATCAGACGGATGTAACACGTCAATAAACCTCGGATCCGAGGGCAGGGCTTCCAATTGTTCTGTCAGTGCTGTGAAAGTGTTTTGTGTTTGGTGAATAGTTTTCAATACTGTGAATAGTTTAGTGTTGTAATGTTGAAATCTAATTACTTTAACGATAAATTGTAATTTATTTTGTTTAGAAGACGATTCCTGTTCTCGTTTGTGAACATATCAGTGCTTTGTGTTAGTGCGACCTTAAAAGTGTCGGTTGCGCTGATTGCAGTTGGTGGTCAGCGCGAGGGTGACCTCCTGATGGTGTGTACATCGCAGCATGTCTGCACTCTCGACGCCGGGCGGCGGAGGCACTACGGCGCAGAGCAAGCCGACGTCCGGCAAGCAAAAATATCAAAAGTTGGACATCAATAGCTTGTACTGCGCCAACAGAGTGAGTATTACACAGTATTGTCAATAGCAGGGATAAATTTTAAACAACTTTATTTAAAACTATTAGAAATCCAAACAAATTCTGCCAGCACTATGCACATTTTTGTTTTTTTGTATTTAAACTATAAATGCACTTTTATTCCATCATAATTCTTACGTTAATTATTTTTAATGCTTGATTAAAAATATGTGGAACATTATGATAATGACATTAAATAGAGGTATGCTATTAATGCATCAATAAACTATAATATCAATTATTTAACAACCATTTAGAACGAGAACTCAGAGCCGTCCTCAGTAAAATCTCAACTTAGCCGCAAACATGGAATGCAAAGTCTTGGAAAGGTACCTTCAGCTAGGCGTCCTCCAGCTAACTTACCATCTCTGAAGACTGAAACTGGTCAAGATCCAAGTGCTAAGTAAGTTTTATTTCTCTTATTAATCAAAAGCTTTTGTCCATGAATGTTTCCATATTGTTAATAACTATTACAGTTGAGAGCTGAAGATTTAATTTTAATATGTCAATTATCTTTACTTTCAGCTCTGTTTCTGCTGTTGTTACAACTGTATCTACTACTTCAACATGCACCTCTCAAACTATAGTATGTATTTATGTTCAAATCAGTTGTTATTTAAAAATAACAATACTGTGTTTTAAATTGTAGTTTGATTTATGAATATTTTAAAATTAAATGACTCACAAGAACTTTTCTCAATGAATATGATTGTTAGCAGGCTACAATATCGAACACCAATGTGATTGCTGGAGCTGGACCCGGCGGATGGGTGTCACTACCACCACCATCGTCCCCACATTTTCGCACAGAGTTCCCTTCATTGGAGGCTGCTGCTCAACCCTCACATCGGTCATCGGAACATGCAGTACCACAAACACAGTTGAGACCACAAAGTTAGTACAAATCATTAAAAACTGATATAATTATTATATGTTAAGAGGGTATAATAATTCTAGTGTTAATTTAAAAAGGTTTTTTATTAGACCTAAAGTTATGAAATACTTTAATACTAAATTAAATCAATGAAGCCTATGTTATGATTAACTTTTTTTTTGTCCATAGGCCTCTTACAATATGTGCCATAAAACCTATATCCTCATACTTCTGTAACATACTAAAACCAAGTTTTTATTTATAATATCTGATTATTCATTATTTTATGGGGAAATTAACAAACACTGATTTCAATAATTTATAGTTCTGAGTCTGGGTGTTCTTTGTGTCCATTTCATGAATGTATGTAATGTCCCCCACGACACAGGATTTACTGCTAGTGTGGGAGTTATTTCTTAAAAAAAAAAGATATTGACAAATCAATGAATTGCTGGAGAATGAACACACTTTTAAATTAATTGTAAACTACCACTTCAAATTTTAAATGGAAATATATTTGGTAAAAGTGAAAGTAAGTTGAGTTTGACTTTTTTGGTTGAAGAATAGATGTACCCAACATTTCAAATGTTTAGGTACAGCATTGTGCCTAGGTATTGTCATGAACTCTGTTATTATACTTTGGGTTAACCAGGTCAGGAGCAGATCAATCAGTATAAGAAATACTTTATTTATACACTTCTTCAAAAAGTAGTAGGTAAATAAGTAGTATACTAATTATTGTTATCATTACTATATATTGTTATAATTATGGTTTATCGTTCAAAAAAAAATTACAGCAGAAGGCAGCTGGACGTGCGGTGGCACGGCGGGCGTTCGCCAGGAGACCAGTACATCTACCACCGCTGCCGCCGCCGCACCCGCCACAGGTCCCGCATCACAGCAAACACCTGCCTGCCTCCCACGATCAATATTGCCATCCTTCGTAAGTGCAAAATAAGTTAAAAAAAATATTTTGCTTAAAATTAATAAGCAGAAATGTAGATTTAGCAAATACAGACTTTTCCTTAACATCATTTATTAGATAGATAGCTATCTAATAAATGATGTTAAGGAAAAGTCTGTATTTGCTAAATCTACATTTCTGCTTATTAATTTTAAGCAAAATATTTTTTTTAACCAAGAAAGAATCTAGGCACCTGATATGAATGAAACTATAGAGTTTCATTCATATCAGGTGCCTAGATTCTTTCTTGGTTCCTTTGATTTATTGGATTATTCTATTTAAATTTACATATTTTTATTTTATTTTTATTATGAAATGTTATTAGGGAATATTCCAGATTAGTTTTCACTTTTCTGCTTAGGGGTAGTTTGTTCCTATGTTGATGAGCCTATATGTAATTTGTTTTACTTTTTAACTAATATAGTGAAATCTTAGTATTAAAGTTGATGAAAGGGTAACAATTTTTTAATTTATGGTAATAAAACAAGGCTCACAAGAATGTCAATGGAAACTAATTATCTCTATACAATTGGTAACATAATAGTCTACAGTGTTATGATTCTTACAGGCAGACAGCTACAGTTTACAAACATTCAAATTACTTTTAAAAACTGTTAGAAAACTGACTGTGTGCTTTACAATGCTCTAATATTAAGAAAATGGAAAGTGACTGACCATGACTTAAGTTTATTTTAGTTAATATTTACAGAATAAATAAAAATTAAACATTTTATTTTGTTATAATAAACATCTGTCTTTTTTTTAATAAACTACCTCTAGATTGGCTGGAACCGAGTACATAATTTAAGAATTGTTGGTGTTTTACATAAAATTCGAAGCACAAACAGAAGCCTTGCAAAGGTGTTTGTCCAGAAATGATATTATATTCTTGAAAAATTCCAGTAGTGATGGAACAAATAATTTTGGACAGACTTCCAAAGAACTAATATTACAACTTATAAAATGAAGTTTTAAATAACTGCTATTTCGAGAAAATGTTTTCTTCTTTGGCATAATTATGTTAAGGCCGAATATGAACAAAACTGCAGCTACCAATGCCCAGTAAAAAATAAAATGACGTTTGGCAATTGTGTCTGATGCATCACCCATGACATATGAATGACGATTATGTTTACTTTGAGTATTCTATGAAGAATTGTGAGATTTCTAAAAATATAAAGAGAATGATCAGGTGAAAAGCGTTACCTACTATTGATTTATCTTGTGAATAAACAACATTAAAAAGGATATTTCGTTTAACCAATCTATAATAAAAACATCTACTAACATAAAATAACTTATTTCTTGTTATCTAACTAAATCCTAATGTTAGTTGCTATATATCAATGTAATTTGAGCCATAATAAGTTTTACTCGGAATAAAAAACCAATGTCTGTACAAAAAATGGACATCCCCTTTACTTTCGTGATGAACCAGATGCATTTGTATTGCTGCTGTTGCTATTTATTAAAATGGGTAGCCAAGTGACAGACATCAGCACGGCAAAAAGAGAAGGAAAACTTGAAACAAACCCTATACCAACCTGCCTGGCCAGCATGGTATAGTGGACCAGCAGTGGACTGTTAAATTCTGTTCATGATGATGATAAGTGACATATGTTGTACGTTGTATGATTTCCTACCATGCTCATCCTATAACCAAAAATTTAAATGTTTGATGGTTGGCCCCATATTTTGAAAAATAAACGCAACACGATTTAGTGATGCGCACTTCAAATTCTTGACGTCGCGTGATTTGCAATGTACGTGGTTGCTTGTCCTGGTCAATTTTAAATAAAGAAGCCCTGATTTTTTACATCATTTTTTTAACATACATCTTTATTTATTTCTAAATACAAGTTAAAAATTCTTATAGTTAAGATTGCTTTCAGATTACAAGAAATGTGAAGATTTATAATCTTTACATTTCTTGTAAGTTGTTGTAAAATTGACCTTTTTAGTAAAAAAAAATATTTTATCATACCTCCAGATGAAAGGTAGCAGCGGTGGCGGGCTCGGGCTGGGCACGGGTGCATTGGGCGCCCTGCGTGAAAGCAGGAGCGGTGGTAGTGGGACAAGCAATGCCTCAGGAACGCGCCCTCCGCCTCGCCAGCCCGCCACTCCGCGCGCAGTCGAGGTTCTTACTGCGCGACCAATTCTGCGGGACGATCAAATCTCTTCATTAGATGACATATCTCGTGACGCCGGTTGGGCGCAACAAGACGATATTGACTATGAGTAAGTAATTAAGGGACGTTAAAGAGATGGATATACCCTTTTTCTTTTATTTAATTAACTCGTAAAATTATATTTCAGTCAGAAGCTGGACTTCTCCGATGGAGAGTCGTCTGCTCCGAACAAGGGTAATATGAGAAGCACTAGTGCTCGAGCTAGCGCAGATATTGAGCGCACAGAATCTAAGATTCAAGACCTGGGAGATGAGGAACAGTTGTGGGCAGAACGAAGGCAAAAACAAACTAACGAGGTCGCCCAGGCAGTTGCACGCGCGCGGCTTCTCAAGGAGGAGGAGCAGCACCGTCGTCAGTTAAGGGATGTTGCGCCCCAACCACACCATACAGCTAAAGACAGTCGTGACAGAGCCGAAAGGCCTTTGGACCGGGACCGAAATGACAATAGGGACAGAGATTCCGACATGAGAGACAAGGACCGTGGCGATAATAGGGAAAGAGATCGCAATGATATTAGGGATCGAATGGAAATTAGAGACAAAGAGCGCAACAACGATTTACGCGATAGAGAAAAGGAAAGAGTGGATAATAGGGATCGTGATAGAAATGATAATCGAGACCGGTTTGATACAAGAGATCGTGATCGAGACATAAGAGATCGCGAACGCGATCGTGATCGTGACCGGGATCGAGACCGTGAACGCGATCGTGATCGTGACCGATTAGAGATTAGAGGTCGTCCTGACAATAGAGACCGACCGGAAAGTGACAAGGAAAGAATGGAACCACGTGAAAGAGATCGCAATGACAATCGAGATCGTGAAAGATTTGATAGGGATCGAGATCGAACTGATAGGGAGCGCGATCGTGACCGTGACCGGGTTGACAGAGAGCGAAATGACCGCGATAGGGATCGTGATTTCAGAGATAGAGATAGAGATTATGGGCGCGATCGAGATCAATCTAACCCCGCATTTTCTAAAACGTTCCAAGCCAATATTCCCCCTCGATTTTTAAAGCAACAGCAAAGTAGACAACAGGATGATCATAACAAGGGTTGGGCTTATTCTAATAAAACAGCACCTAGACGCCAAGAACCTCCGTCGTATAACGCTCCACGGCATGCTCCTCATAATGGTCGCCGCTCCTATTCACGGTAAGGTTTATTATTCACACTAAAATTTTTTTTTTTTTTAATGTTATGTAATTCTCGTTTTACCTTTTTAAAATTTTGCCTTTTCAGAGATTATTCAGACCGTGAAGATGACTTTAGAAGAGATAAAGATGGACCTGGGCCGCAATGGCGGTCTGAAATGCAAGATTATGAGAGATCTGGACGTGAATTAGACAGATCAAACTCTAAAGATTCATATAGTGACTATAAGGATAGAAGAAATGAATCTGATAAGAAGTTATTTGAAACCACTATTGAACCTAGCAGTCGAACTGCTGCTGACAAACTGACAGAAGTATTTGAAAGAAAAAGTATAGGCATTGCAGAGCCTTTCGTATCATCTGAATCCCCATCTCAGATCTCTGCTCCAGAGAGACGTAACACACCACCATCTAATTTATCTCAACGAGATTCCTCTGAGAGAGATTTCGGAAAAACTTCGTGGGCGGAAGTTACTCAAGAAGAACCAAGTATTTCAAATACTCAGAAGTCAGTCACAGAAAAAAGTTTACTGCCTAAAGATAATGATACGAAAAAAGAAATACATGATCATGACAAGGTAAACGACGAAACTAAACACAGTCCACAGCTTGTTTTGGGGGCGCCTCTTCAGCAGACAACACTTTCGAATATTGTATCTAACCCATCGCCGTCCTCCATTCACAAGTCCCATAATAATCACACTTCAAGTGTCCAAAGTTTTGGACATAACAATCAACAAATATCTCAAATCACTCATCACGGCAATGTACAGGCTCAAACAACTGTTTCTGTAAGCCAATCTCAAATTTCATTTACGGAGAATCATGGTACCTTGATATCAGCACCTTTACAAACGCCTCCTAAACAACAACATCAACCTGAAGCTCTTAATAATACATCTCAAATACAAAAACAAGTCACAACTGATCAATCGACCCCACAAAACATGACGAAACCTTTGTTTACAACTCAGAAATCTGAAAAAGACCTTTCAGAATCTGAATCAATAGCTTCTAAATCAAGTACTGATCCTTCCAGTTTAGGAAATCAAATGAATGAAACTTATCCTACGGAGTTTCCTCACGGCAGTTCTCAAAAACGACCTCTAGATGATAAGAAAAATGAAAAAATCAGTAATGAGCAGCTCAACAAAATTCCTTCTAAAGAACCTGTAGAACGAAAGTCAAGTGGATCAGGATCTGAAAAAAAAGGTAGAGGATATGGAGGTAATAGCGGTGGCGGTGGTAGCGGCGCCGGCACTAGTGGAGGCTATGCTGTATATACTAGAGGTTGGGGACCACGAAGACGATCACACCGCAGTTCGCGCTCTAATAACAGAGCCAGTGAATCGGACGGTTCTACTGATGGTGCGCCTAATTCTGACCGTAAAGAAAGACGCAGGGCACCGCGTAGTCCTCGTGGAGCTAAACCAGCGCATGATAAATCTGACGATTCTAATAGACCTCAACAACTTGACCAACCAGCCTCTACCGATGGCATGGAAAATAGAGAGCCTTTTGCGCCTCGCGGTCAACCATCACGTCGTGGACGTGGTGGGTTCCAGGGTACTAATCGCCCACCAGCTCCAGCTAAACGAGTCACTGGATATGGTCCTCCTAATACAAAAAGTCCATTTAGCCAGGCCAATAGGGCTGTAAAAGAAAATGAGGAAGTAAAAGATACTGTACAGACTGAAGATAAGTTGAAAGGCAATAAATCCAGAGCCGGTTCATCTACTGGTCGAGGTCGTGATCGACGTCCTAAAGGAGCCGGAGCTCCTTTGAGCGGCGAGGATGAAAATTGGGAAACAACTTCGGAACATTCTGAAGGTGGCACCTCTAGCCGTCGCAAATCGGTGCCAGGTAGACAATCCGGTCAAGGGCAAAAAAATCAAGGTAGTCGTAATCAAAATTCAGGTAATCGTCAAAACAATAATGCACGCAACCAACAGACTGCCAAGAAAGAAACAGTAATTGAGAATAAAACTGCTGATATCACAGAGGCTATGACAGATCTTAAATTATCTTCTGCTAAAAAAGAAGATGAAGTTGTTGATGATGGATTCCAAGAGGTAAGAAACAAGAAAAATTCAAAAGACACACGAGGTACAGCAAAAGAAGAAAATCAACATTCAGCCAAACAACCTAGATCTCATTCAAATCAAGGTGGTGGAAGAAATGGTTCTTCTACAAGAAATTCTAATGACAAATCAAACTCACGTGGTTCTGCCCCAGTTTCTAATAAATCTGGACCTCAATATGATCGTCCTCGTCAAGCTAACTTAGCACCCCGATTCGTTAAACAGCGCCAAAAGCAACAAATGGGTTTGGTGTCTAACTTTGGTCCAGACACTGGAGCTGCACCTCCACCTCCCCCTGTTAACGCTTGGGATAAACCCATATCACAAACATTACGTGGTAATCTTGAGGAACCAGTGGAAAATGTTGAAAACAAGTCAGGTCAATCCAGTCAACGTAGTACTCCAGGAGACACTGCTGCCGAAACGAAAACTGTTCAACCTACTTGTGCTATGGCAGCTGATAAAACAGGCGTTTTAGATGGAGCTACGCCACCTGTTGAAACGATTATATTCGAAAACACAAATTACAAGACTGCAACCCCTGACGAAAGTTTGCAACAAAAGTATCAACTTACTACAGCTATTACTAAAACTCAATCTGAAGACATAAAACCTGAGCTTGATACTCGTCCACTCACATTTAATGGAGAAGTAAGACCCAGACCTAGGTCCATACAAGATATAATATCAGAGAGTGCAGTTACTGATGGGGATAGTGCCAGTTTAGGGCTACCAATATCTTTTGATACATCACAAAAACAAGAAGACTCTTCAGATATGAAATTAGATTTTGCATTTGATTCTGATTTAGGACAGCTAACGGAGGATAAGACAGCCAAGACTCTTGGTTTGCCACGCGGAGTTCACATGAGCACATCAAACACTATTTCACCACTGGCGGCGGATCTCAATTTAAAAATCGCCAGTGTGAAAAAAGTTTGGGAGATGCCTGCTGTAGCTGAAGGAAGTGAAGAGATTCAGTTTGCTACATTTGAAGAAAATAATACAGAGACAGCTCCACCTAATGTATGTAAGGTCAAGCCTACACAGCAGCTTCAATCACCACCACCCCAGCACTTCAACCACGTGGGTTATCAAGGAGGGTATGGTGGTCTATCAGTGCCGTCACCGCCGGCGGTGATGTTTAATTCTTCTCAACAACTATTAGGCTCATCACAGCAGCTGCCGCAGCAGGGAAGTCTCTATGGGGCTTTCCTAGATCAGAGCCGTGGACAATTCGGAGGGTTTCCTGGCACACCTTATGGTGCAGGATCAGCAGCCCCATACAATTATCAGCCTCCTCCAGACATGTTTCAGAGTCTACCAAATCAGTATAGAATGGTAGGTGGAAGTACATTTTATTATTTTATTACATTATTAAAAACTTTATTTTGCACTACGAAATATTGTTGAAATGTGGCTGCAATCGTTATCTTCCTGAAATTGCAGTAATAGCAGTTTCTAAAATGAATCAATTTCTTGTCATTTTACTTGTCACTAAAGGGTCTGTTGTATTATTAGAAGACACTCACGTTGATAGTGACATCATGGCCTCACAGAAAACAAGCAATTTTTATTCCATAAAAAAAAACTTCTGCTTGTCTACGCATAGGCGGTTTAAGGTTTTGCTGTTGGGTTTTAAAAGAATGTAAAGTAAAAAGTAAACATCTGAATTACTTTCTTAAATTCGTCCTCGTCACTTAGTTAAGAGCTTAATTTTATTAGTTATGCACAAAATGTTAATTCTATAACCGAATTAACACGAAGGTGTAATCTTATTGCGGGTTCGTATAGTAAACCGCGTAAAATAAAGGCAAGCGTTAATCATTTTCATTAGAGTTACTTTTAAAAATAAAACTTTGTTTTTGTACTTCTAAATTATTTATTGAAATGAGGGTCTATTTAGCACAATAACAAACGCCCGAAGGCAGAGTAATTATGTCGAAGTGAGTCAGTTTTGGTCAGTTGTTAAAATTAGAAATGAATGAATCTGGTTACACTAAGTGAAAGTTTATATAAAAGATAGTAAATAAGAATATGTTTCTTTATCGCTTTTATATCAATTTTTTTTGTTTAGGCCGCAGCCGCTGGCGGTGGTGCCGCATTCGGACAGTCGGGGCAACTGGGTAATAGTCCCAGCACTGTTCTAATCTCGAGCACTTCTAATTCTCTCATGTCGGCTACTGTCAAGCCTTCCACACAACAGATAGGTGCTATTGGTGCGTATAAAATTCCACAAATGAAAAAAGAGAAATTAATCACCACAGTGACAGTTTTTTTCTAAATTAACCGTAAATATCTAAGTGAAATAATTTATAGGTGGATATCTATATATTTCGTAATAAATGTGTACATAGAGAAATTAATAACTGTGATGTAATACAATACAGGCAGCAAAGGTGGCGGAGTGGGAGGTGTCGGCGGTGTGGGGGGTGTGAGTACATACCAGCAGCAGTATCTGGGCTACTCGGCGCCGGTCGGCGATGCGCCTTACTCCCTGCAGGGGTTATTACCGCGTCCTGCGCCTCCCGCTAGCTCGTACTATTCACCGTATCAGCCGCCAACGGCTCCTGCACCTACATATCCTCTACAATTTACGCAACCGGCACAATCCGGTGCCTTCGGCTCGCAGTTTCTCTCCTCACAACTTCAAGTTGCTGCCGCCGTTCAGCAGATGCAGGTAAATTAGAATGAAACACTTGTGTAACCTCATTATTATTCTTTTCATTTATCTTTTGAATGAATTATAATTATTGAAAGAAACGTTACAATCGACTTTCAGCTGATTTGTACGATTACGTTACAAAATGATGACTATAAACTATCTACTGTACATAATGATGTAGTTTGTTTCTAGTAAAAGACTCGTAATTACGAAAGTGAGATGATGTGTATTATAAAAAGTAATTTTACCATTCTTTTTTTTTATGTTTAAATTGTTCATGTAGAAATATTGATTCTATTCTAATGTATTATTTCACAAATAGCAAATTGAGTTGTTAATTATTAATCGAGTACGTATTTGATTTGAAGTTTGACACTTTGATTACTTAACAATTTTTCAAATAGCGTTACTTTAAAAACGAATTTACACAAACGACGACAAAAAAAATAATGAACTTTGCCTATTACTATTATACCTACATTTTCATACATAAATAATCTAAGAAGTGCATTTCAACTGTTGAAACTGACGTTCTGTGACTAGCGAACGCAACTTTGCACGATATGAACTAAACATAAAACAATATTATAATTTAAGTTAAACAATAAGTTGAATAATTTATGATACTTTAAATTTCTATAAATTATTTCAAGAATTGCGTGATTTTTATTTTCAATGATTATAATGTTATTCGTTCGTTTCTCTTTAATTGTATGCTTTTCGTATATTTAAACGAAACAGAAATAATTATTTAGTCCAAGAATCAAAGTTTTTAATTTTAAATATAAAACATCTACGAGTGTGTACAGCAAATGAAATAAATCTTAACTTTTTATTTTAAAAGTTTTATAAGCACATACTTATACATTTTGGGCCACTAGTTCCAATGAACTCGTATTATTTTTTTACAATGATAATGTTATACACAGGGGCTCGTGGCTAAGTGGTAACCGAGTTTGTTAACACATTGCAAGGTTAAGCAATCCTAACCAGGCCAGTCTTTGGATGGGTGACCATTTCTTAACACATTGAGGCCGAGCCTCGGAAAGAACGATAAGCCGTCGATCCCGGTTGCCATATGAATATGGTCTGTGCCAATCGTTACGGGGAGCCTTAAAAGTTCAACAACAATATTTCTACATAATATGTTGTGAAGGTCAATTGTCAGTCGCTTTGCGTAAAAAGTTCAGGCGTATCAAGTAGACTTTAAGCCGACCCAGACCTATTTTGGGAAAAAGACTCGGAGCAAGAAGATAATATTATAAACAGTTTTTACCCAAAGAAAGAACAATCTTAAAGAAAAAATATTTTGCCATTGCGAAGTTTGATTTGATAAAATTATTTCTTACTGGGGCCCTGACTTGCTGTTCTTAGATAGTTCCTCTTACTTTTACAGCAGCAGTATCGGGCGCCACTGCAGCAACAGTACGCACCGCCGCAACCGCGACCACCTCCGCAACAGTTGAAAAGTCCCTTACATGAGCATGCAAATGGCTTCGCGCCGTTATGCGACGCAGCTTCGCCTACGCCCAAGGGCGCAGCCAAACCTCAAAAGCCGCCACACTCGCCACCGCAGCACAAGTACCATGCTCCGCCACCGCATCCTCCACCGGCACACACCCCTCACAACCAACATCAACATCACCAGCAGCAGGTAAATTTCTTTGCATTAAAATGCTAGATAACTAAATTCAGTTAAAGATCATGAAGTTAACCTTATAGACTAAAAAGTTTTTGACGATATTGATCGTATATCGATCGATAAGTCTGGTCATAATGCGTATACAATAACTTGTGTTGACATTGAAAATAAAATGAAACTGTTACTCGTTTCAGCAAATGGTAAGCGGAGGCAACAATGGACGATGTGGTGGCGGCGGTGGGTCCGGTGGCATGGCGCGCGGAGGCATGGTGGCGCCACGGTACCCTGCGCCCATCGGCCAGCGCCCTCACGCGCCTGCGCTGCCGATATACCGAGCGCCGCCCGGAGCGCCCTCCCAGGGGCCGCGCCAACACCACGCTTCACACCAGCAACCCCGCCCCAATCTCTACTACCACCAGCATCAGCGCAGTTAGTACATTCCTCTTCGACTACCGCCACCGCCTCAGACCGGGAGTCGAGCGACGGGTAAGAATCGCAAGCCGAAAACTGACGAGTGTATGTATTGCGCAGACGGCGGCGGTGGCGGTGAACGCGTGGCAGAGAGTGGAGACACGGTGCCCGGCGACGACGCGGGTGACGCGACCGCGGGTTCGGACGCTCCGACGCCCGCTGAAGTCAAGGCGGAGTGAAGGGCGCGCGGCCCGAACTCCGATCCGCCGCCCTGTGCCGCCCGCGCTGCACGGAGACATGAGCGCAAACAGCGCGCGCGGCGAACGCATCTTCACGTCGCGACTTTAGATTTTCGTTATTTTAATTAGGAAGTAAATTATGGAAGTGATTCTGAGCCGTTCGAATTGGGCGCATATGCGCCCCATTGAAGGTGGCGAAGCGCGGCGCGTTCTATTCGTAATTAAACGACGGCCATCCGACTCCTTGACTGTTATATTTAAGTAAATATAGACGCGACCGGTCGACGGCTCCGTTGCGACGACCGGAGTGCCCGGGGACCGCGAGTCCTCGTCTGATGCTGCCTCGAGACTTCTCATTAGTGAATATGTAGCTACGGTTTTTACAGCGCGAAGTCGATGCGATGTAACCGAATAATAAATGTAATTTGGAGTGCGGGCGACCGAGTCAACCTCGGCGCGTCTACCAAACGACGCAGGTTAACGCTCCATGTATCATAATCAATTATTATTATATGCGAATAAAATTATTATGACCGACATCCATTTATTTTATTTCCTAAAAATTTCCATAAATAGCAAATGTACTGATAATTGTATTTATATTCACACTAGCCGAGCCTGAATATTTTATTTATAACATTGTCGAAATATTATTTGTAAACAAGGTGTATTGCATGTATTTTTTTTTGGTTAATAAAGATTGAGTAATAGTATCAAAAACAAAAAAAGAATATTCGTAAATGCACGATTGTGCAGTCTTTTTTTTTTATGTGGGGAAATTCCCTTGGATACCACGGTGGTTGTCTGACTCGAACCGACTAAAAACCGCACGCCGTCTTGGGTACCAGTAACCGGGGAACGTGTCACTAACACTGGCTTGACCACCATCATGGATTTTAATATTGATAACACAAAAATTTGGTCGCTAATTTGTCCTCAAGTATTCGAATTTCTGCTGGGGAGACTGACCTCAGCAGGGCCCGTCTCCAGCAGAAATTCAGGGCCACGCTTGTATGCCAAAAACTAGGGCACCTAGCGAATATCTGTTTTCCCCCAAATTTAGTCGTGAATTTTTCGCACTTTTTTTGACACAGGTTTACTCAGTCTTGGTTTAGAAGATATATCAATTTTTAAGGTAGGTATAGTCTAACAGCTAGATCGAAGAGTACGAAAAATTGCCAAGAAAAAAAAAAAACTATTAGTAGTACTCGTAGTATCATCATCAACAGCCTTTACTAGTCCACTGCTGGACATAGGCCTCTCCTTAGAAAGGAGGTTTAGTAGGTATGTGTAATATAATTCTTGTTTTATCGGTCTGAAATCCTTAGAAATGTCGGAGAAATAAATTTTCAATTCAAAAAAATGAATCTTATCTGAATGAAATGTGTGTCGGCAAACTAATAATACAATACTAATTTTAAAATACCTATTATTTAAGTGGTTATTAAAATATTCGCTAAAACCTATGCCATCCCTATTCAGACTGCTTGTGGGGTCAATAGGGATGGGGGCATGGGATTGCTAGAGAAAAATGGTCAGGGTTGTCAAAAACAATAAATATAATTCTTCATGTTAAACAAATAAGCAGTGGGTAGCTAATAAGTTACTACACTTGCAATTTGGGATAGAAATATAGAAGTAGAAGTGTTTGTAGGTAGGTATTGGGTTGTATTGGATAAGAATTCATTCAATTAATAGTATTATTTGAATAAAGCTTTATAATAATGGTAACAAACACAAACTTACTTACCGGCACCGATCTTGATTGCTCGGCGGCCGAATGGGGGTCGCTTTATGCACTTATAGCAAAATAAAATGCACACCCATTTATTTATTTACCACACATTTATTATTATTTATTTATTTTAGCTAGACATAAAAAAAAAGAGAAACATGTTGAGGGCCAATTAAAAGTTTCCCCACATATCATTATTTTTTCCTTATTCGAATAGAATAGAAATATATCAAATTATCTTTATACATAATTATATATAATTCTTCTGTGCGTTCCCAATTCCTCAACGGCTAGACCACCGACTTTGATTTTGATGTTTTTTTTTGTGTGTTCAAGTGGATTTGAGAATGGTTGGTGGAATGGAATGGTTTCAATTCACAATTCGGTCCACTACAAAATGTTTTTTTTTTGTCTACGACATAGAGGTATAGCGACCAAATGAAAAATGTTGCAAAAACGGGGAAAGTTAATTCTTTTTGAGCGCAAAAGACAAAGTAGCGTGGGTCAGCTAGTCTTTATTCATTCTTTGCAACCATGGTGTGCCACAGCGAAGCGTGACAGGATGCAACTAGCAAATAATATGATGTTACGTTGTAAAGTTACTATGTAACTTCTTATTGATTCTATGATAAGACTATGCTAAAAATTATTAGGAATAATTTAGCGGAAATGTGATGTGGGATAGGGTGTTTTTTATTATTATTTTTTCTATTTTTATGTATCACTTCACTTTCTCTTTTATTTGATATTTTTTCCTAAGCTAATGTTTCTCTTTAATGTCTTTTTACCTTTTAATCCTTCAACTTTTGGTGAATGGCTTTATGGTATAGTGTAACCACAATTTCGCCAATGTCATGTAATTGAAAGACAGTGGCCTTGAGTTTGTTTGCCCTTTCTTCTCATAAGGCTGAGGCTCAACTTCTTTGAAACGGGCGGTTTTGGATCGGCACATCCATATAGTTGCAGCAGGATTTGTTTAAGCATAGTTTTTATTAAAAAAAAACCTAACTGTTTGACAAAACAGAGACAGGTACAGGGAAGGTGGCGATTTCTTTCTCGTCGTCATCTCATTTACTGTGTTATAGATACATATTCGAGAATACACGCCGCTTTCTAACACACTCACATAAAAATCTCAAGTTTTAACTACCAGTAAATTAAATTGACGAAGAGCGAAAGTAGAAATGATTATATTATTAATAGAAAATTGCCCCGGGCAACTCGCTCTGAGTAGCTCGTCTGTACATTTATCTATCCCTTTTTTACTTACCATAATAAAACCTCCTAACCAAAACCATAACCATAAACCTCCTTTCTAAGGAGAGGCATATGGCCAGCAGTGGACTAGTAAAGGCTGTGGATGATGATGATGATGGATGAATAAAAGGGAGCGCAGCAGTCTATTTGCCAGTGGCTAAGTGCACATTTTACTTATTGCAATGAATACAGCTTCCTTTTGATGGGTTCAAATTGTAGAATAATTGAATATTTATATATTGTATTTATCCCTCCCAAAATAGAAGCGCAAAGAGGGCACACCGTGTGGTTTTAGTCTGTTCGAGTCCGAAATACCGCCCCGCCGAATAGAAAACCCCGGCGGGGTGACGGTCCGAGGGGATTTCCACACGTAAAAAAAAAAGGGTCGTCCAATGAAGAAATATTAATGTAATTTTTATTGAGAGATATAATATTAACCTAATAGGTATCCAAGTACCTTTAAAAAAATAGGTATTTTTAACTTTTTACTTTAGGAACAATAATATTTTAAAGTAATAAATCATTTTATATTTCAAAACAGAAGTTTTTTCATTCTAACCTTAAGACTGATGAGAACTCGAGATTGAACACCCACATTAATTTTTTATGCCTAGTTTATATGAGTGCCGAGGTTTGGCAAACATCCACAAGCTCTAAGTCTTTACAAACGCTTGGACGCCATTTACACGCTTGCGAGTGGGCTATTGTGTTCCGGATAGCAGACGTGGACATATTTTTTACTCAAAATATAAACTACGGCACTAAACTAAAAAAAAAAATATTCTCTACTAAACTGCTCAATCATTGAGACTTAATTTTAATTCCCGACTGCTCAGCTACAATGCTTGTAATATGAAATTGAGTTCAAAAATCGACACTAGCACCGATGGACGAAGAGCATACGCGAGCCGAGCCGCTTGTGTTTGTGGACACTTGTCGAGGCTCGCCATGCGAGTAAACGTGCACTATATTCAATCGACTTTCGGTTTTCGTATAAAGTAGATATCCATCACCTCTTCGTCTATGTAGATTGTTTATGAATGTCACAAAAAACACGCAATGTATTGTTATGTATCGCGAAGCTCGCGGGCCCGTACTAGCCGGCGACAAAGGTGTGATCCAAGTGTACGCTTTGTGGCTTTTATGTTAAAACTATTACTTTTATGGAGAAATCTAAGAAATTGTCAAGTCAATATTCTGTGTGATATGTTAAATGTTTGTTTCATAGATGATATTTTATTTCTTATTTATTTATTAAAGAAAGGGTTAATACAGATTAAAATAAAAACACAGCGATTTAGTCAAAGTATCTTTATTTCATTTAAAAAATATTGAAATCATCTCTTATATAGACTCTGAAGTCGAAGATCAACACACACAATAACAGCAATTTGTTTTCTCAAATATTTAGCAAAATAAAACTAAAAACCTTTAGCAAACTTGTTTCCAAGAAGTAGAGCCTTATCATATAGCTTCTCTTTTTTAAATAGCCTCCATCAAGTAAATGGGCTCTCTAACATCTATTTTCCTGACTATCCTGTATTAAAACTTCTTGTCTCCTGAAACAATCATTATTAGGTTTTTATTTTGAAATATAATAAGTATAACTTCACACATTCCACACACGGCAGTCTGGTCACAAACTAGGCAGAGCCTGTACTATGCTGACCAATCTGCTGATAAATGTACATATATATCTAAATACATACATATTATAGAAAAATTACAACCACACAGAACAAATTCTTGTGCTTATCACACAATATTAGTCCTGGGTGGAAATCGAACCCACGACCTAGCAGTCAGGGTCACTAACCACTAGGCCAACAGGCCAGCCAATTTTAGCTTTTATTAAGTACTCAATAAAAGAGATTAATAGAATAGACAGTAATTAAGCAGGTAATTCCTTTGTATTGATAAATAATTATAAATATAAGTGTTTTTCATACTTTTTATGAGATTGTAATACTTCCCCTATATTGTAGGCTAGATAACAAATAAACATAACAATGATTATACCAGTGTTATCAATGATATGGTTTTTTATACAAAAAATTAAAACGCTTGCTAATATTAACTAAAACTTCACTTCTTTAATGTTGAATAATTAGGTATAGAAAAAAAACTGTTTCTACTCCGTACAAGAACCAAAGACATAGTAAAAAGCCTGTTAGGCAAAGTTAGAGTAAACAGCGGCGGCAATAAGTCATCACCAAATGACAGTAATATCAATTAATTAGTAAATAAGAGAATAAAGAAATGTGAAAGCGTGAAAGCTTCCCAACTCTAATTGATAAGAGTAAAATGATTTGAATGAAAGTTATACGCCGGGTCAACCACCAGACAGGGATCGGTGCAAGTACTTTGTTTCACTTCTGCAATGCAGGGAGACGGCCATTTACCCCGAATTTGGTTTAATAAACAAACTGTGAAAATTTTAAATTAGACTTTTCATTTCAATAGGCAGGCTATTTTGACACAGAGATTTATTTTTGCACTTCATTATTAGAACGAACATGTATCACAATATCTGTTATCTCCATCCAATGGTCTAAATTATATGTAGCTAGTTTAAATAAAGAATTTCATCGGTTAGCCGTTTAAGAAATTAAGAGAGAGCGACAGTCTCAAGCATGCCCTGGGTATAACCAGCTTTCATCGAAGGTGAGGTCATTGTACGAACTCTCCGGCACTCTAGACTAGAGCATTGGCCAAATAGGCGGGAGAGCGAACGTAGATTGTACAAGACGATACCCTCCTCCAACAGACTGAGGGAGCTGTACAAGTATAGGTTTTATTTAATTACTATGACCTCCGTAAAATTTTGGACTTGTAAAAAATATATTTAAAGCCATATAGGTACATCAGCATTACAAATCTAGAATGTACTTAGGTATATGAATTGAAATTATTATTATTCCAACGGCAACAATAAATTAGATAAATTATCTTACATCTGCGTCTAAAACTATTACCTATCTAAGTGGACTTCAAATTGTCAGTAGGTATTACCTCATATACTTACAAAAGTTTAATTTCTACTCATTGTGAACAATAAATAACAAAAGTAGGAGACTTTCACGTATTGTTTCTATAATATTAGTATTAGTATTTTTTTAAGAAAGAAGAAGTTTATTTTAATGACATTGCAACGCAATCACAATATTATTGTACAGATTCAGAACATATATACATATACATAGTATTGTAACACGTAACGAATTAGAATAAAATATAGTATAAACACAGTAATAATTAACATCTTTGTTAATAAAATTATAACAATTTATATTTAATTTTCTATATATTCTTACACATAACACAAAAACATAATATTAGCGCTGATTTTCAGCAACAGTCTAAAACAGTCCAAATGTTTAATTGTATGTTTCGAAATAATATTAGTAAACAGCACGAAGTTTTTTGAAAAAATAAGTATTTACAGAGTATCGCAGACAATTAATAACTGTTTAATGCGAAAAATAAAGGTACATGTCAATGAAGAGCTAATTACTTGGCGATTTTAAATTAGATTTATATTTGTTCGTTAAATAAATATATTTTTTAACTTACTCTTAAATGTAAAAGTCGTTCTAAGTTCTTGCATAGGCAAGTCAACAAACTCTTCAAAGGCATTTTGTACTGCCTCTCGGGAATTGATTTTTTTACCCCGCAAGCATTAATGCTGATGTGCACTGTGAAGAACTGGAGAGAATGATGGAGAAGCTTGCACATCTGCAACCAGCTTTGGTCAATCGGTCGTCCCCACTGCTCCTTCACGACAACGCGCGACCCCATACTGCGCAACAGACAGTCTCCAAGTTGCAAGAGCTGGGGTTGGAAGCTCTCCCTCGTCCGCCATACTCACCAGACCTTGCACCTACCGACTATTACTTTTTCCAAAATTTAGACAACTTTTTAGTGGGTAATAAATTCAATTCCCGAAAGGCAGTACAAAATGCCTTTGAAGAGTTTGTTGCCTCCCATCCAGCTGATTTTTACAAGAAGGGCATCAATAAACTGCCAATGCGTTGGCAAAGATACGTCGATTGCATGGGTGATTACTTCGAATAACAGAAATAATAAAGTTTGAAAAAATAAGTACTTTCACTTATTGCATACAAACCGACAATTTCATAGGCAAAGACCTAATATTTCTCAGCACTATAGTACCAACTCTGAGTAGGTACTCTGTCTTCTGTATCAGTTGTGAACTTGAACTTTCTTTCTTTATTCGCAAAACGTCAGTACGTCCATAATTCTTTCTTGTATTACGACCCTGTTAGTCTAGTGGCTAGCGACCCCGGCTCCTAAGCCGAAGGTAGTAATCGAACCCGCGTTCGATTCCTACCCAATACAAATATTGCGTGCTGAGCATGATCATTTTGTTCTTTGCTTGGGTGATTTATCTATAATATTTTGCATGTATTTAGAAATATAGAAGTATGTTTATCAGCTCTGGTTATCATAGTACAGTTCTGCCTAGTTTGGGATCAAAAGGCAGTATGTAAAATGTGTCTAACTCGACACATCTTATTTGTTTATATCTTTGTGTTGTCTATATTTGTGTGTTAAAGGGTACCGAACCCTTTCTGAATGAACACAAAATCTAAGTTACAAAGGGATAATATTGAGTTGGGAGGTTGAATACTATTATACAATTATGGTGATTACATACCTTCGTCTGTATTAGGATCATCACCATCATCATCATCAGCCTATCGCAATCCAATACTCAATACTTTATTGCTTCCATAATGTAAATTTTACAGTTGGTAAAAACTTAGCTAGGTATCAATTATGGACCCTGTCGGGCGCAGCATAGAAGAGAGAGAGAGGGGAATGATGATTACTAAATTTATTTATAATATATTATTGATATATATTTAATCTGTTTAGCCATTAATCCACTGCTGGACAAGGGCCTCTCCCATTGCATATTATTACTAGTAGGATAATAGATTAAAAACATTACGCATCCTGAACATCTAAAGTGACAATGAGTTTTTTTTCTTGGGAAACTTCATCTCCCATGGAACCCTATTTCATAGTTGGTAGAGTATTCCGGCCGGCCGTTTGGTAGTTGAACACAATATGTAGTTGTATGTTAAGGTGGTGCACTATGCAAAAATACTTTATGACAATGAAACAACCTAAAACATTGAATATTACTTATTTACGATTATTGTAATGATAGAAAACTCTGCATTTAAATTAAAATCATGGACTGTTTTTCGTGGTTTTACCTACTTTTCTAATAATATTCGAAATGACCAACAAAACAAAATATGATTCATGGATATTTCTGCTTTTATAGTATGAGACAGAAATTTTAATAATATAATAGGTTTATACTCGTAGCTACTTCAAACATAGGAAGGGTTCATTCGAGAGCCATGTCGCTTACCATAGTCAAATTTACCGTTTGTGATCATCTCATCCCAACATGTTGTGACTCCTGAGTTGCAGACGTTCATGGGCGGCGATGGTCACTTTCCATCAGGTGACCCGTCTGCTCGTCTGCACCCTCTAGCATAAACAAAAAAAAAACATCAATAACTACTAGGTACAGTTAAAGTCTGCCTAAAAGAGAAAGTCAAGTCTTTCTAAGGAGAGGCCTATGTCCAGCAGTGGACTAGTATAGGCTGTTGATGATGATGATGATGATGATGAAAAGAAATGTTACCTCAGACCCGATAACCAAGACAAACTAGTAGTAAAAGAAGTAAATATGAGTTCTTAAAAAGGTATGCGTCGGAAACTTTATTTAACAAAAACTAATGGATAGCTTCAATTGTGATAATTGTGATCTACTTCAATTACAAAGAACCAGTTTAGAAATAGCAAGCACAACGACTACAGCTACTAAAATGACAAAGGCAGTCTCTTTGTGTACGAGACGAATACAGTGAATTGAGTGAATCACTCGGGCCAGAGAACCATTACCAGGCATGAACAAATAGTTGCGCGTTGTAAACGAGAACGACAGTCAAGTCAAGTTAGTCAACGCTCGGTGCGCTTCACACGAGCACGAGTGCGTCGCGATTTTTTCATTTGTAATTTGATTGTCAACAAACTTTCATTCACTTCAAATGTAAATAAACAACTAGTGCAACATTTGTAAATTTTAAGCGCTTAAATTATTATTGCAAATAGAGTTGCTAGTTTAGTTTTTAGCATTTTTTATTGAAATTATAATCTGTAATTCTACCCAGTTAATGTGTTGATTGTGTTTTTCTTTAGTGTGTACCTACCAATTGAAAATGTTATAATACTAGCAAACGTCCGAGATTTGTGAAGAAGAACAAAGTTTGTTAATTTAGAGTGGCCTGTGTTGAGTATTCAATTTTCGTATGATTTCAACAGCGACAATAACAAGATAATTATAATTAGTGCTAACCACGATGGGAAAAAATTACGGTAAGTTCACTGTTATAAAAAAAAGTCACATATAGGCATAAAGTGCATGAATTATATTTTGATTCATATTACCAACAGCCTCTAAGGTAAGGCAGGTATATTTCAATTTCAATCATGCTTTCCTACCTCCCATCTTATTGTACTTTTATTCATGTCTCTATTCTCTATGATAATGTTGCAGTGTGATCTGATGGTTTTATAAGTTCGCTAGCTGTACCCTGCCACGCTTCGCTGTCGCATAGTGTGGTTGCATTTATGAGAAATGAGTAACTAAACTGAAATGACAAATAGATAAAAACTTCATAACTAGATAAATAGAACAAACATCTTTGAAGCGGGTTGTGCCTATATCGTGTAAAAATTTGAGCTCAATCGGTGCAGTTTTTAAGATTTTGAAATTTAAAGCGTACACAAACCCATTAACATTTCTAAATATAGCTATAGACTATATGGTCTAAAGGCAAAAGAATGAAGGCTTTGTGTAGTTAGTCATGGGGATTTCAAATATTGCATATAATTAACCTTTTTTTCTGTTTTCCTGCTTCCAATCTTACTTCTATTGTTTAAAAATAGATCTAAAACATGCGAATCCCACCTCACTATATCCCTGATGGTATTAAACGTGGTAAATAGGTCTTATCATTTATTGTTTTACACTTCGATGAAGTTTGTCTCACACTCGTGTAAAGTCTCGAAAATAACTTCGACATTTTTAGATATCTATTTTTATTGTCCTAAAAACACTGTAGTAGGTAGATAGTCTACTGAGTCATCTTAAATTGAATGCATTTGGAAGAATATCTTGGTTATTACGATAACCTTGGTAGGTATAACTTGGTAGATATAAGGTTACAATCGACGATTTTTTTTGAACCGTGGCATAAACTTGATTGCGGCGCCCCTCTCTCCAGCGTTTGAGATAAATTACTAAAAAAAATCACAAATATATGAGTTTAATTGTAGTGTGTAGCCTGTGTGCCGCCTTTTTCTTACAAGTCGACAGTGAGCCAACCAGGCTTCCGTATGCTAAGCGCTTTGTGGAGCAAGATTTTAGCGTTCTGTACCTCAAAAGGAAAACGATATGATCACTCTGTTGTCCGTCCGTCCGTCTGTCTGTCTGTCTGTCTGTCTGTCTGTCTGTCTGTCTGTCAAGACCCTTTAGTAAATCCTTAGAGTATCGAGTTGAAGTTAAAACGATATACTCAGGTCTACAGTCTCTTGAAGCTTCGAAAAATCAAACTTCTAAGTTAACGTAAACGTAGTTAGAAACAAAATTTATAGGATATTTGTCGTTGACCTAGAACTATGAAATTTGGCAAGTATACTACAAGTATAGGGAAAAATCTGAAACTATACATTTGTATTTAAATTAATTATAAAACGGGGTTTATGCCGACGGAAGGAACGGCGGGCGGTCCAAATTCTGAATTGAGTTACTCGCACTTCTCCGGTTTTTTTATTTTGGTTTATTTTATTTTGATTTTGGCGCCCCCTGAAACTGTCGCCCGAGGCGGGTGCCTCTGTTTGCTCCCCCCCCCCCCCCCCCATTGTCAACCAATGCAACAAAAGTAGCGTAATTTAGTGTTTAGTGGATGTGTAGTTTCCAGATGAAAATGAAAATAAGATCAAAGAAGTAATAGGTACTTCTCCACAATAATTTTATTTTTTATTTATCATGCATTCAAAGCAAATCACTTGCTTTTTCGAATTAGATAATAATATTAAGTTGTTGACGCTACTACGTATACGATAATCTAATATATGATAATAGTTTACCACATTATATTAGTATTACCAATCAAAATAACTCATTATTAGTATGACTACTGATAATAATCGTCAAGGCGATTATGGTTTCCTGTGCGATTATACTTCCAGTATGATTATGCCCCCAAATATACACGGTGATTTTGAAAGAATTTTGGAAAAGAAAATTTTGAGTTATTTATCAGTAACAGAAGCTATATATAACGTTAATTTAATAAAATATATTTTTTTTTATCATCAAAGTCGATATTCATATCGTTTACAGAGAAAAAGTCAGAACCAGTAGTAGTAGGCTATTCAATCACACGTAGGTAAATACTACGAATAGAAATACTATGCGTGTCACATCAAATCGTATTCGCCAATAAAAACAAAGCTACCGAGTTGCGCCGGAGTCGTCCAACCAATGACGTCTGCCCCGTAGGCGCATGCGCGGGGCTCACCTGTCATCGTCAGTCGGTCAGTAATACCATAACATCGTGACGGCACGCTGCATTGATTAGCGCTAAAATGAGTCGACAGTACGAATTTTCAAACGTGGAATACTTCTTGGCAATGGTACAGCTGTACGCTACTGCCAACTACAACTTGGAAGAGGCTCGGCGTTTGTATTCCCAAGCCGGAGCATTTAAATGCACTACGGCTACGTGGAATTGAAAGCCCTCAAATTCCCTCCACACCTACTATCTTGGCTGCAACCCAACGTCTTCTCGACCACGGACAATTTCGTGCGCCTACTCATGCGCAAGGTCAAGGACGTTTTAATTATTCGCCGGAGTGTAGTGCGTGCATACCTGGACAATGAGCTTAGTGATCGGACTTAACGCTTTTTTCTTATGGTCGGAAATAAAAAAACTTGTTAATACACGGGAATATGAAAGCCGTGATAATTTACGCATTGCGATAGTGGACGCTTTAAAGTGAAAAGTGATAGAGACACATTAAGAAAATTAAAAAACAATTGCATTAAACGTGGACGTTTGTGTATTGAATGCAGCGGACTCCATTTTGAGCAGTTCCTTCGATACAGAGAACTGTAAATAGTGTAAATAGGTATGTAAGTTAATTATTCTGTAGATAGCTCCGATTTTTTAAATACGCCTGAAATATTTATACCTACAGTCCGTTGATAAATTGATTTGTTGTGAAAAGAACAATCGTGGTTAATAATCGAAAAGAAGTTTAAATAAAATAGGTATTTCTGACGGTCCTAAGCCCGTGTAAAGTATGAAGGACAAATTGGAGTCTATCTACGTAAGTACTCGCTAGCTCGCGCCTATAGGTATAGTTTTGTCAGCTGCTGTTAGCGTCGGCGGTGCGCAGCGGCCGCCGAAACGCCCACGGACGTGTTTCATTCATATAAGATAATGAATGAACGATCAGTCCATTACTACTTTCCAAGTCGATCGAGTAAAAATGAATATTAAAACTGAAACTTTTTCTTAGACAACATTACAATTGATTTAATCATTTTTATTGGTACTATAGATGATTCCAAATTCAAATATTTCGTTTCCAAAACGCTTTCAAAATCACCGTGTATAGCATATTTGATCAAAGACGATAGGCAACAAGTAGTAGAAGGTAGGTAGAATAAGTCACATGCAAGCTAGATGTACCTACCTAACTATAGCTAATGCGTAAATGTCTAGATACCTACACAGGGAAGAGGGTAGTGTAATCAACGACAGGCACATACTATCAGTTCGGCGTTGCGATTGGGCCGCACTGAACTTTTCACCAATCACACAATCGAACGCGGTCACCGTGATGATCAAGTAAAAGTGAAATAAACTCACACTAAGCCCTCAGACTTGAATCCGCACGAAAACTAACAGTACCTGCGTAAACCGTCACCTCGTGCCTGGGGTTTAAAACACTGCAAGCAATCAAAGCACTAAATATATCTTGAATAATAATATCTTCACACATAACACACAAGGCCGTCTAATCCCAAACTAGGCAGAGCCTGCACGAATGTACGACATGGATACATCTTGAATACATATAAAACGGGACTTATAGAGTAACATATTTTTACAAAACGTGGATACAAAAGTGTTTTGTAAGTATATTGCAATGAGAAGCCAGCTGGTATTTACTCGGAACTGAGATAAGGCATTTTTCAGTGTCGTGTATGTGATACGCTTAATGATTTGAAGTCAACGGTGTTATACAAACAAATCTAAGTCAGTCAAAAGCTATTAGGATATATAGTTCAATCAAAAAAGTGCCTTAGCAATTCGAAACCTTTTTGACTCGCTCTATCAAAATGACAGAACAGTAACAACGGTCAAGGTGATAAGATAATCGGTAGCGAGAAATCGACTGGAAAGAAAAGTTATGCTATGTTTACGCGCTTGCCGAGGCTTCGCAAACGTCCACAAGCTCACTGAAATTTGGTATTAAGCTGGTATTAGTATACAAACAACAAAAAAATATAAAACTGAACTTTTACTCACTTCACCAAAATATGTGGCTCTGGTCTGATATAAGGTCTAATATACAAAAGTTTTTACAATCCACATAGTTTGACTATGGTTTTAAGTTTGCGAAGTTAGAGTAGAGTTTAGGCGTGTACAGTTAGAAGTTTGGCTTACATGAGTTCTGACAACTTTTTGACAGTGCGAGCCACATGGTCTCGTCTTGGCCACATTTTACATGAAAATGTTTTTGGTAAGTTAGATATAAATAATAAAGGTCTCATAATAAAAATTAGCCTAGCCGACCTAGTCTCGATCCCACATCCCACAAATGTCATAAAAAAGTATTATTATAATAAAGTATTACTAAGACCAGCAGAACACCGATTTAATTTTTGGTTACAATACGATATTATAATCACGTTACAGTCAATGTTGGATAGTTAATACTTTTGGCTGCACGGATGGCGTAATGGTATAAGAGGTCACTTCGCCGCTGCCTACTGCGCTGAGTGCTGTTGTTTCGATGCCCACATGAGACAACACTTTGTATGATCCACAAATTGTTGTCCCAGTCCGGATGTTCTTTGTGTCCGTTTCATGTAAAAGTCCCCCGCGACACAGGATATATTGCTAGTGCGGGAGTTGTTTTTATAAATGACGTTAGTTACTTTAATTTTTTTTTAAATGACCAATATTACAAATGTTTTTTTATATATTAACAATCAAATTCCCGTTTATCGTGGTGGTCATGCCGGAAAGAACGATGACGAACGTTCGTCCTTAAAACATGTTAAATTGCCAGTTGCA